TCGGCCTCCCAGGGCTAAAACACATTTCGGTTGTAACAAATGTTTGGCCTGTACTGCTGCTGCCTGTACACACTGTCGCACTGAACCTTCCAAAACAAAATTTCGGCTGCAAAAATATTTCGGCCAAATATGATCAGGCCGAAAATAGCCGAAAATAAATATGCGCCGAATATTTGTAGACTTCAATACAGTACCTTGTTCTCCTGAATACCAATGACTTCGTAGTCTCACACTGAAACAGGAGCAAGGCCGGATGTTATTTCCAGTCAAATGAAATGACCCCGGCTGAATAAGGAGGCTACCTGGTAACAGAGACCACGTTTTGAAGGTCCCTTGGCTTGAGCGGTCGTCTTCCGCAGGTTTCATGAACCAGTACCCTTTGGCCTCATAGCTTATAACAGTATTTCCCTTATATTTATAACGATATTAATTAACCCTTTACCAGCCGTACATAGTGCGAATGCGTCGAATTCGACGCCTTCGTTTTCGCTCTGTAAACCATGGTCTTTTGCCGCACCGCGGTCGGAATAATCGCAAACTACTGCTGAAAACCTACGGAATCACCTATCATCGAGAAAACCGTGTGCTGCACATCATTTTTTTTCAAGAAAATCGCGGTTGAATGCACCTGGGTGAAGTTGAAATTTCAAGCGTGACGCACTTCATGCTGAGCACTGTACAAACAGCTATAACTTCGGTCTGGCTACTTCAAATTCAACAAATGACGGCTCATTGGAAAGCTATTGAATGCAGCTTTCCAACGATGTTTCATACATGGCACGTGCTTGTTGCCAGGTGACGGCCAATGAGCGGCCAGAATAAGCAGTCAAGATCAGTCGATCTTGACCGCTTAGCCGGTCAAGAACTTCAGTCAGCCGGTCAAGATCTGGAGTCAAATAGCATTGCGGCGCGCATGCGCATGTACCATTTCCTAAAGTGCTCGACACGGTCAACATTGAACATTTGTCGTCCGCCAAACGAATGAGTTGGCCAGTACTGCTTTTGAAGTCACAGTGTTCAACGAGAAGACCACCTATCCTTGCGGGTGGCGCAAAATGGCAGTCGACCTTGCAGGTATAGCGTTTTTATGAGAAAGAAGACCTCCACAAGCCCTAAGGCTGCAGGTTCTGAGCACTCGCGTTTGAGCCTTACTCTGAGAAATATCATGGTCCTGCTCCTGCACGGAGCTGAAAAGCTGAAACTCACAAGCTGAGTCCACCACGTCCCCATCCACCACCCCTTTACAGGTGTCTTGTTTTTATACCTTGATGCCGGCTGAAACTAACAAGCTGAAGTAAACGAGTGACATGAGTCAGGCTGTGCGTGCGTGTATGTGAACATGTGACATAACTAGAGCAAAAATAGACTATACTACCGTACTGGCAATATATGTTGCCGCGTAACGCGTAACGCAAGGGGGTGCGGCGTAACGCGCGACCAGGCTAGTGCGACAAATTTTCTTTGAGTTCGTAACGCGCGTCCGGCGGGGTGCGGCGATCTTTTCATTGCAGTTTGCACTGCAAAAAAAAGGCTGAAAACTGTGAAAGCTAAAGCACGTGTACCGCGTGGTGAAAAGTAGTTTTTGGAGGAAGCGCTCTTCCCCTATGTCACTTTCCTTTTGATGATCTTTTTGTGAACAGATCACTCTGATAGTTAAAATATACAGTCTTCTATTGATATTTGAATCATATTATCTTCCTTATTGGCCATGGGCCATCGTGGAAATAAAGAATAATAAATAATAATAATAGATATCGTTGTCGCCCTTTGCCGTCGGGTTTGTAACAGTTGGATAGCAACTGAATTTCTGTGCCTTCAATGTGGATGAAAAGAAAAAATGATGCGGCAAAAGCAAAAAATGATGCGGCAATAGCAAAAAAGTGATGCGGCAATAGCAAAAAAAGGACTGCGGCAATATAGAAACCTGTGTAACGGCTCCTGTGCGACTTTGCATGTAACGCCCTGCGTGCGGCAAACATGTGCCAATGTAACGCTTCATGGCCTCACTGCGGCAACATATATTGCCAGTACGGTATAGTAACAGAATGATACTACTAGTAGTAGGCAGGGATACTACTAGTACTAGTACTAGTAGTTGTTTGTGAGGTGGGCCTTGTATGAACCACAATCCTACACAGTTGCATCGGGCATGCGTCTTGCCCTCGCAACTGTGTAGGATTGTGTATTTCATTCGATATAGCGCGAAGTAAAATACTCAAGCGCCGAAGCTCGAAGTCCAGGAAACAGGTGAAGTTGAAATTTCAAGCATGTGACTCTGGCATATTTCATGCTAAACGAGCATAGAGCAGTGTACAAACAGCTATAACTTCGGTCTGCCTACTTCAAATTCAACATATGAAGGCTCATTGGAAAGCTATTGAACGCAGCTTCCAACGATGTTTCATTTGATATAGCGCGAAGTAAAATACTCAAGCGCCGAAGCTCGAAGTCCAGGAAACGGGTGAAGTTGAAATTTCAAGCGTGTGACTGTGACGCATTTCATGCTAAACGAGCATAGAGCACTGTACAAACAACTATAACGTGTCGTCGGTCTGCCTACTTCAAATTCAACATATGACGGCTCATTGGAAAGCTATTTTGAACGCAGCTTTCCAACGATGTTTCATTCGATATAGCGCGAAGGTACAAACAGCTATAACTTCGGTCTGCCTACTTCAAATTCAACATATGAAGGCTCATTGGAAAGCTATTGAACGCAGCTTTCCAACTATGTATCATGCGATATAGCGCGAAGTAAAAAAATACTCAAGCGCCGAAGCTCGAAGTCCAGCAAACGGGTGGAGTTGAAATTTCAAGCGTGTGGCTGTGACGCACTTCATGCTGAAGTATGTGTTTGCGAATTCCCCAGTACAGTGCACAGCTCATGCGTGACATGCACCAAAAATGAGCGCTAGAGCAGCCTGGTTCTGCTGGTGTTTGAATCTTGACAGATGAACTGCTGCATGAGCTGAAGCTGAACAGTGTACATATTGTCATGGTCCTCGAATTTGCTAATTCGGCCGCATTGCTCGGGTCATTGTTCGCCATGAATGGCAACGTTTCTACATGTTATCAGCTTGGTTTTAGTCTCATATGAAAGGTAATTCTACCAGCTTTCCAGAACTATAAAGGTGTCAATACAAATTATTTACCATTTAGTCTCTATTATCAATCTAGTGGACCCCGTTTTTTTACATAATCCTGCGGCTGGTAAAGGGTTTTAAAAAAGAATATCTTTTTCTTGGCCTGACGCAAATATCGTTAGAAGTATAAGGGTACTGTCGGTCGACTGTACCTCGGCGAGTATCCTGTTGTGCAGTGAGCACCAGGATGGACATAACTAACTTCATAAGAGTACTACACTCAAACGTCTCTTATCCGGACGCCTCAGATACGGGCACGTCTCTCTACCGGGCACCTTCAGCTTGGGTTCCTATGGTAAAATGCTTCGAATTTGGGGGTTTGAACTTTTTTTCGTATGCACAAGTGCTTATTTTGTCACCATCAACCTGTGTAATCCACACGTCGTTATCGATCGATCATGTTGGTATCCTTAACATGTGCAATGGTTGCCAAATAAACTTCTTCAACGAATGATATGAAACATAGTAGATGAGTTATCCTGAAATACGGGCAAATCTGAGATACGGGCAGTGCCCGGTCCCAAGGTGCCCGGATAAGAGGCGTCCGAGTGTACTACTATGTATTGTACTTACAGGTGTCACGTGCTTCTCACCGGTATTTCTTCCGAAGACGTCACGGTACTTCGTTCCTGATGTGATGTCGGTCGGCCATGCTGCAGGCTCGTTCCCACGGCTTCCCTCAATCCCTCCATCAATCCCTCCATCATTCCAGTGGTAGCGGCTAGAAGCTAGAGGAGACGAGTAGCAGAAGTAGAGGTTGAGAGACGAGAAGCAGAAGCCAAGGCTTGAAGAGACGAGGCTGGCAAGAACTGCAGCTGAGACTGCAGAAGTAATGGACTGAGAGAACAACGACAAGCAGTCGGCCCTACTGCAGGAAACCGCCAACCAGAGAAAAAGCGGCACCCTGGCCTGACTGCCTGGGCGTGAAACTGGCAGGTGTTGCTTTTAGGACACGGGATGGACATGATAATTATGGACAGGACAGTCATGATGATTGTAGATATCGCTACAATGACTAGCAAGAGCAGATCTACAATGTCATAACGTTGTACTACTAGGTCTACTCGTACATAGTCACTACATGACATTGTACACACGTTGTGACACAGTCGCGTCACTCAAGTATGCGCCGGGCGTTGCGCAGCCCTAGACCTGCGAACACTGGGCTGCGAAATTGTGCAAGGCGCAAACTCGAGTGACCCGGCCGGATTTCATTGAGCAACACTGCACTATTACAAAGTACTACCATGATTTACACTGCACTAGTTCTCATAGCAATAATAATAATTATGTGATATTCATGATAACATCAAGACAAGAGACAAGACTCAGAATTGAATAGTTCAATAAAGTATTATAGTAGTCATACTGGACGAAGACTAAAAAAAGAAGAAAACTCCGATCCAAAACTGTGGTCACACCCGGCCAAACTTACAGATCCCCACGCGTTGGGGTCTAAAATTGTATTGTGGACATACAGCATGAAAATGTTGCCATCACACTGTCTAGAGTTTATGTGATGACATCAACAGTTGAACATGCTGAGGTGAAGTCGCGATGGACTCACAGCACAGCGCGCTACACTTGCACTAGCGACTCACGCTGCATACTGGTACTTAGCATCAGTTAGCGACCATCCGAAACTGAAAATCCGCTGACTCGTGCGGTGTACTTAGCACCTCCTAGAAAATCAGCCATGAAATCATTCGCATACTACCTGTATCTAGAGTGTCAGGCAGAATCAGAATAATAATAACATGCTGCTCAATGAAACCCGGTCGAGTCACAAAGTGCTCATTAGCCGTCACACATATACAAACACACAAATCACACAAGAGCAGAGTGATAGTCTGCAAGTATTGTACGTCAGTAGATCTCATGGATGCAAGAGGCATGAACGAGGGATAAAACGGAGAGTAATAATTCACTATCGACGCTAAACTTTAGAACATAGAGTTTGATGTGGCTCTGAAAATACATGTACTGCACAGGGTGGATAGACAAATTCTGCACCACCAAGAAAAGAGAGAGAGAGAGAGAGAGAGAGAGAGAGAGAGAGAGAGAGAGAGAGAGAGAGAGAGAGAGAGAGAGAGAGAGAGAGAGAGAGAGAGAGAGAGAGAGAGAGAGAGAGAGAGAGAATATACATAGAGAGAGACGCGTGTGTATAAATGTGTATGCGCACGTGCACGCATGTGTGTGTGTGATACGATAGTTTATGGTTTCAATGGATGCAAAGCACGATGGTGCCTGCTGATAAAGAGAAAGCTCTTGCAAAACTGGCATTGTCAAAAGACAGCTGAACTCAACATGTCAGCAAGTAGAATGTATGTACAAGTAGGCAGTTGGCACAGCTTTCATTACAAGTAGCTACGTACACACGTATTATGTACAAGATGGCCAGGAAAACAGAAAGGTAAAAACATTGTTTAAAAAATACTTGCATGACATTATCATGACCTCGTTCAAGGGAAGAACGCCTTGGTGTAATCAGATATGAGCAATCAGCATAAGACAGACGGAGGTGTACATGTACATGTGTACAAAGAAAGGAGAACATCAGGGAGTACTCAAGCCCATGACGAAAGGTTACAAATTACAATACAAGAGTCAGAAAGACGCAGTCCACAGTCCATAGTGCTTTGAACAAGAGGAGGGATACTGCACGCACCTGCGAATCCTAAACATTAGGATACCGTATGTGCCATAGCTACAGCATGGTTCACAATCCTGTGTACAGCTTGAACACCACTGGCTGGTCAAGTGGTGGTGAGTGCTATTGCCCACTCAGTCCTGCAGCCGACGGAATTTGATAAGCCTGGATTGGCTGACTGTGCTTGCTTTGTACAGTGCAATGATGGAAATCACTGGATGGCGCCGGTAACACTATCCATGGTGCTGCACGGCTCATGTTCCTGCTACGTGTTTGTTGTTTCGTTTTCTAATTATGCTCACAGCAGGTCAGAAGCAGATATTTCGCTATAAATACAGCCACTGCTACCAACGCTGCTACTGGTTCCCAGAAACCAAGCGGACGCCACATCCGCATTGACAGCAACCTCCATTACGGACACAACCTCATTGAATTGGTCATCTCTGGAGAAAGTTCTTGATAGCGGCCAATACTTAGATCTGCAGTGGCAAGATAGATAGAAAACAAGAGCGACTTGTATGCTAGCTATCCTGCAAATAATTACACTGTGAGTGTGCTATCATGGTTGACTGAAGCTCTCGTTGCTTGCTCTACAGTACTGCTGTGTGTGCTACCATGGTTGACTGAAGCTCTCGTTGCTTGCTCTACAGTACTGCTGTGTGTGCTAGCATGGTTGACTGAAGCTCTCGTTGCTTGCTCTACAGTACTGTGTGCTAGCATGGTTGACTGAAGCTCTCGTTGCTTGGTCTACAGTACTGCTGTGTGTGCTAGCATGGTTGACTGAAGCTCTCGTTGCTTGCTCTACAGTACTGCTACCATGGTTGACTGAAGCTCTCGTTGCTTGCTCTACAGTACTGCTGTGTGTGCTAGCATGGTTGACTGAAGCTCTCGTTGCTTGCTCTACAGTACTGCTGTGTGTGCTAGCATGGTTGACTGAAGCTCTCGTTGCTTGCTCTACAGTACTGTGTGCTACCATGGTTGACTGAAGCTCTCGTTGCTTGCTCTACAGTACTGCTGTGTGTGCTAGCATGGTTGACTGAAGCTCTCGTTGCTTGGTCTACAGTACTGCTGTGTGTGCTAGCATGGTTGACTGAAGCTCTCGTTGCTTGCTCTACAGTACTGTGTGCTAGCATGGTTGACTGAAGCTCTCGTTGCTTGGTCTACAGTACTGCTGGGTGTGCTACCATGGTTGACTGAAGCTCTCGTTGCTTGCTCTACAGTACTGCTGTGCTACCATGGTTGACTGAAGCTCTCGTTGCTTGGTCTACAGTACTGCTGGGTGTGCTAGCATGGTTGACTGAAGCTCTCGTTGCTTGGTCTACAGTACTGCTGTGAGTGTGCTACCATGGTTGACTGAAGCTCTCGTTGCTTGCTCTACAGTACTGCTGTGAGTGTGCTACCATGGTTGACTGAAGCTCTCGTTGCTTGGTCTACAGTACTGCTGGCTACCATGGTTGACTGAAGCTCTCGTTGCTTGCTCTACAGTACTGCTGGGTGCCAAGAACGGCCAGGCTAGAAGTTCACCAATTTTTAAGAACGATCTAGACTGGACTTTCGCAGATAAGAACGGAAACTGTAATGTACACGCAGAGGTACATGTAGGTTTGGATCGGATACATTTTCTGTAGTTTCATCGTAAGTCTAAACATGTGAACTGGCAGGTGTGCATATGCGTCAGCATGCACCATGTACTGATACATGTTTGTACGGTCCACAAGTTCGTTCATACAATCATGTAATAAAAATGGCTGTACCATCGAATAAGTACGAAAAGGCTGTGTTTGCAAAAAAATACTTCAGTAAGAACGGGCTAGGCTAGAGCCCTGACCCCCGAGCTCTTCGGCGCCCGACAGTAGTGTATGTGGATAAAAATGGCCAGTGGCAAGTTACATGCATTACTAAAAGAGATTGATTGTCCCCAAAGCCTGGTAACACTGAGTTGAGGGGGTGATTGAGTTTTCGCTGTTTCTTTTTCTTTGTCTGCAGCACCATAGACAAATAGCACTGATAAGCAGGGTAACTGACAGCAGAGCACGGGAAATGATTAAAGCATGAGAGAATGTGTATGTTTCAGACGGATGTGTGCCCGCTCCCTTATGCAAATACACTCCAAACCGCCTGGAGAAAGGGATCTGGCATTCTACTCTACGAACAATAATATTTTTCCACATCTGAGCAACCCTAAGAGAAGCCAAGGGTGAAAGCACATTCCTGGACAAGCTGATAGAAACACCCAGTTTTTGCTCAGCTGTCACCGTTTCATCTGTTTGCAGTTTCAGCCAGCCCACGCCTCATTTAACGGTCCTGAATTCACCTCTCTTTGCCTTCACCAACAACGGCGTAACAATTGGATCGCGGAAACTGGTCAATTTCACATTAGACAGGGTTGTGCGATGTGAAAATTCCAAGCATGAAAAACACACCGACCATACCTTCGTGGTTCATCGTTCCGTACTATTTCAGGTTATCACAATTAACGTTAGAAGTGGTGATCACTATCATAACAAAGTCATGACACGGGCTGCTACTGAAAGAAAAGGAATGCCCAGGGGCACATTGGTCTTGGAACAGAAAAGACTGTTGACCGCGATACAGGTGCAAGCATTGAGATTCGTACTTTATTAGGAAAATTTCCCGAGGATGACGGTCCAAATAGTAGTGCCATGTAAGACGTTGCAAGTGGAATAGTTTGTTTGAGAGCTGAACATGACTTCAGTGCAACACCGACGTATCATTACTAAGCTTTGCATACGGAGGACGTACACATCGTGGCTCTTCAGTTGAACACCATGAAGCCACTTGCGCCAACATCATGCACGGAACATTTCTTCAACTGCAAGAGTGTGGCTGTGGGAGCTATCCACATACATGTAATTCACTTATCTCAGTCCTGCAAATGCCACCACTACCGTAGATCTGCCACATCCAAACACAAACATTACCGGAGTATACACACCCTCAAACCCGACTCTGTGTGTGTGTGTGTGTGCGCGCGCACGCGCGCGTGCGTGTTTGTGTGTGTACAAATGCGTGCGTGCGTGCATGCGTGTGTGTGTGTGCGTTCGCGCGTACATGCACGACATCCAAATATCCTACCTTTGGTGCAAACTTCACTCGCTTTGCAGCTGGTGCAGACGCGGCAAGAGATCTGGTAGAAAGCAGAGAGAAACAGCAAAGAGAAACAGCAAAGAGCAGCAGCAGCAGCAGCATGGTAACTTACAGTCAGTTATCATCATATCAATACCAACATGTACCGGTACACAGTGTAAAAGTAGCACAATCACTACAACATAGTGATGTAGATATTATCTACCACACTGTAGACCGACAGTGTACAGCGCTGCTCTAGGCGAAATAATCGTGCAACGGACCAAGTGGCCGATCAATCCATGACAAAAAAACATGAATAACGACTCCCTGTACAGCTCACGGCTGTTCGCGCACGGACATCTAACAATATGGAGTCGTTCGGTGCGATTTACGTAACGCGGTGCAAACCTCATGAATACGATGGGAGTTTGCGTTTTGGGATGAAACTCATGTCACTCTCCGTGTGGTTCCATGATTTCGCAAGTCAAACCAGGATTTATTATTTGAAAGCGCTCGAGCGAGATACTCAATATCCAGACAATTTGAGAGAGAAGGAAGGTAAAAGGCACTCCTGCCGTGGTCAACCAGCATCCTGACCTTTTCGAACCTCTCCAAGCTGTCCCTGGTAGTCTGGATATTGACGCACGCACTGATTTTCAGCTTCTCCTCGCCGGGATCACGGGTGCAACTTTCAAATTTGCCGATATGCACTCGAACAAACGCACAATTGGATCTACATCACAATTTCGGGGCTATCTGTGTGCTTGCTGCCTTTTTCAGCAATACCCCACATGTCTACTGGGCAGTTTCCACCAGGTCTCGGCCTCCTGGACTCAACAGCGACTCCAGCGCCATGCCATCTGTCCCCTAAATCGCATGAAAAGGTAGCTCAGCATCGAACGCACGGGACCTGAAGTTTGTGCACGGGACGTGATAAAACTTGGTGAAGATAGCCAGAAGATAGTCCTCTACCTGGGAAAACTGAAAGCTAGACTGGGAAAACTCCTGAAAGGGCTTCTTGACGCAGGCATGTCAACGATGAATCAAGGAACGAGCGAGAAAGAAGGCTTGACTTGTGCAACGCGGAACAAACTGTTCCTGAGACGAAGTTGGCCATGTGAGGTACCAGCGGAAAGCTAGTTTCAAGAGGAACACGGAATACCTGTTTTCCGGGTAAACCTGGCCTGGTAGCTTTCTAAATCGAGCGAAAACCACAGCGAAATCGGCTGCTGAGAATTTGAAAATTCAAATTTCCTTGCCGATCCAGCCCAATCGAGACTTTTGGCTGCCATCTTGTTAAATGTCCAAATTTCGCGAAAAAAAAACAGCCGTGAGCTGTGCGCACGCGCTTGTGCTGCAATCAGAAACGGCGAGTTCAGGGAACAGAAAAGTTGGCCACGATGGCGCTCCTCCTGGCAAGAAGCTCCGCCCTGTCCATGTGGCCATTTGTGAAAAGTGGACTGCTGAACGTGACAAGGACCTTTCAACAACCATTTTGGTTGGAGTGTGATAGATGCAAAGGCGATCGTGCAGTGGTGAAGTGCTTAGATGGAAGGTTTATGTGCGGTTTGCCGAGAAAATTGGTTTGTTTAAAAAATTTCTCTGAGTCCTTCATCGTTGGGTCGAGAAATTTGAAATTGTCGGCTTTCAAAGACACATGTGGCAAACTGGTATGTCCAGGGCATGTCCGAAATGGCCCAGGCAACAAAAGTAAAAGAATTTTCACTCACTCGTCTGATTCTGTCTTCGGCTCAATGCTAGCTGCTGCTGTGGATGTAGCTGACTGTGATGTGGCAGCAGCAGATGGTAGTGAGAACTGCAGTGACTTGAGTACATCATAGTTGATTTTACTGGAGATCTTCTTCTCTTGCAGTACTCGCTCTATGGCTTCGCCGGCACTCTTGCAGGGCTTCATGTTCGCGTGTGTCTTCAAATTACGACGCTGAATACAAAAACACACACACATACACACACACACACACACATCATGTACCATGTATGCGTCTGTCGCGTGAGAAGCACGCAGATCTGCAAATGCACAGCAAAGCTATTTAAAAATATACTTCATGCTGAGAATGCACCGTGGCAGAGTCGGCTCATCCCTCATCCGTAGCAAAAAGCAATACCCCGATGGGCAGAGGGTACTATTAAACAGTTAAAGTACAATATCCCAACTATCAGCCTGGTTCAACTGAACAAACACAGAAATCTGAATTGCCAAAAAGGGGGAAGTACCTTCTTTGGTGGCTTCTTGATGCCAGCAGCTCGATCAGCCTCCTCTTTCTCTTGCTTTACTGCAGCACAAAGCAACGTGTAAAGACAAATTCATAAATTCGTAATGCCATCATGATATGCACACCGCCCTACCTATAGTAGTAGACACAGTGTAGGGAGAAGAACATCAAGGTTCTAGGAGAAAACTGTGTCTAGGCTTATCACAGAAGAATTAGAGCTAGATACAGGTTTCTAAGCACCAGTTTTTGATACTCCATGCATGTGTAGCTGTGGATACTGCATGCATGTATGTCACTATGTGTAGCTGTGGATACTGCATACATGTATATCACTTTGTGTAGCTGTGGATACTGCATGCATGTATGTGTAGCTGTGGAAGACAGCCTCCCTGTACAGTCCACATTGTACTTTGAAGTAACTGTATGTGCGTTCCAAATCAGGGGTCAATTCCCAGCAATAGGCTTACCCAGAGCGTCATGTTAAAACACCCATCAGGCACAGGTGTAGCATTCCTCTGTGTGTGTGTGTGTGTGTGTGTGTGTGTGTGTGTGCGCGCGCGCGTGCGTGCGTGTGTATGTGTGCATATTGTAAGTGAAACCTACACAAACAATACGCTACATACTAGTACAGTCGACCTACCCTTATAACGATATTTGCGTCAGACCAAGAAATATTGTTATAAGGGTAATATTGTTATAGGAGTAACTGGTTCATTTCATACACATACGTCATAATGCATGGATTTTGTTCATTTTTACACTCTTCATAGCATAACAAACTGATGTACATGTACATGCGCAGTATATACACAGCAAGGTGCCCACTGGTACCCCCACTGTATTTCAACATGTCCCAGCGACTTATCAAGTGAAGCTTGCCCTACCTGGATAGTGGGCTCTACATATTCCCTGCTAGATATTGTTATAAAATGGAAAAATGTCAATTGGTCAGCCCATGTTATATCGTTATAGGGGTAATATCGTTATAGCAATATTGTTATAGAGGTAAGCCATTGTATACAAAAGTCAATGGAGTGATTTGGTTTGGCAGAAAAATATCATTATAAGGGTAATATCGTTATAGAGGTTATCGTTATAAGGGTAGGTCCACTGTACATCGTCATGTACAAACCTTTCTGAGCAGCCAAATAGTCCTTGTTCTCCTCTTCCCACATCTGTGCTTTGAGTTCAGCCTCATCCTTTGACAGAATAAACTGCAGAAAATAAAGAAGTAAAGAAAAGAAAAGAGAGAAAGACCCAAACCAAAAAAATAAAGTCACTACATCAACACACATTTCTCGAATTTTCTTCTAAGGCTATCACAAGAAGAAGAAGAAGAAAAAGACTATACAACAACACGGTCAGAACAACAGTGTGAAAATACAGCATGCACAGAGGCAACGACCATGCCAAGCGGAGGGCTCGATGCACACACACACATAAATAAAGAACAGGTCACTTTGCTCCTCTGCCTGCACAATGTGACAAGGACAAGCACAATAACCATAACATCCCATTTCGAATCCCTAAAATTTTAAAGAATACTCCTATTATTTACATGTTACACCTCATACTTCAAAGTAAAATCTTCACAGCATGATATGTAGTCTAGCACCTGGCAGGAAATGGTGTGATGAACAATCACTGTTGGTCTGTGTGTCTTACAGTCCATTCATAAAAAGATGATATCCTAGCTCTTGGCCGTAAATGGGTCAAATTTTGAGTTTTTCCACAATTTGTTTTGGCAAACCCCATGGAATGCTCTTCCAATGTTTCTGAAGTCTATTTCTCCAAAAAACAAGCCATAACAATAATAGGATTTCGGCCAGGTTTTGTCCCCAAACCACTGGATTGGGGAAAAACCATGAAAATCCAGGCCGTTCACACCACTTGCATAACAGCACAGTGTGCGGTTCAAACCCCAGTTGAGGTACCTTTTTAGGACCCTTTTTGAAGTTTCAAATCTCGCGGCACTGCACCGTGTACGACAAAATCACGAAAAATCAACAAATAAGGGAGCTAGCCAGAGCCAGCGCTCAACCTTTTCTGAATGGACTGTAGGGGCTAGAGACGTTTATGGTTAGCAGCACAAGAATGTTGACCTGACACCCAGGCTAGTTACAATTATGTCGCTACTTATTATTGTGCTAGCTGTACTGAACAGGGCCAGTACCTATGTGTACTTGAGCACTCTGCACTGCCATCAAAAACAGGAACAAACCCATCCACGGCTCTTTCTCTTGCTAGCTGTGCTGCTGCGTGCATCCAACTGTTTTGCAATTTCTTTCTTCCTTGTTGCAATTACTCGGCGAGATTTGAAATTTCTAAAGTTCCGCAGTCGCAGGAGATCCTGAGCCGTCACCATGAGCTCCGTGCCATCACTTTCCGATCTCCGCCAACTCAAAGTCGACGGAGTTGAAACTCGACTGCGAGAACTGGGGCTTTCTTGCTCAGGCAATTTTAGAGCCCAGGTGAGCCGTCTGCATGAGCATTTGTCGGCCCAGGCAAGAAACAAAGCTAAGTCTACGAGCCAGGTCGCAAAAAAGACCACGCGTCGGCGGGCTAGTCCTGCAGTCCCGGCCACTCAAAGCCCCGCGGCCGCGACCCAGCCTGACTCGTCGCCCGCGTTCACGTCGCAGCAATCTGCCGAGATCTCTCGGGTCGTGCAAGATGCAGTGGCGTCCTGCATGACGTCATTGACAACTTCGATGGGTCTACCGGTGGTACCTCCACATGCACAGCCAACTGTAGCAGCAGCAACAGCAGCACAGCGGGCTGGTCCAGTCTCTGGTGATGTTGTGGTGCCTGACTCTGAGCCTGAATATGTCCAGCCTTCACTGGCTTCAGCACTAAGACCAGACCAGGAGAGTCTCTTCCTGGACGGCGATTTGCTCGCCCCAGAGCGTCCACCATCCATCCCATTACCTGCCCTCAGCGACCATCTCACGGACAAGATTATCAAACGTGAGTACGTTGATTTTGGTAGGGTACTGGGAGAGCTGGCTTTTGATACGAGCATGGGTCCGGACAGTGGGTTCACCCTGCAGGGGACGGGGGACCACATCACCCTTGTGCCATCTGCCATGTCGTCGTCATCCCGTCTAAAGAAAGTTGTAGACTTGACATCGTGGTTGGAGGCGTTCTCAGCCTTCGCCCAAGTAGCCCTCCACCACGACCCCGGCAGAGGTCCGGAATTATTCAAGTACCAAAGCACAATCGTGAAAGCGGCCGCACGCTATACATTCGGTGCGTGGTCTGGCTTCGACATGTCGTTCCGTGCAAGAGCTGCACGCAGCAAATCTAGCCTTGCCACGTCAGATCCGGAACTCTGGTCGGAGTGGTTTACAAACTCCATCCTGCCTCCCTGCCGTCACTGCAACCGGCAAGGTCATTTAACAGTTCGCTGCCCCCGCGCCCGTAGCCTAGCTTCACTGTCTGACGGGCCAGCAGCCAAACGCCCCTTTCCGGCACAGCGGTCAGGGGCTACCGCTCACCCAAACGCCCCAGCTGTCTGCCGCGACTACAACCAAGGCCGCTGCCAACGCGCAGCCTGTCGCTACGGCCACCAGTGCAGCACATGCTTTGGCAGCCACCCCGCCAAGTCATGCCCAGGAAAGCCAGCCGCCGCCAGCCGCGACCAATAGCTCGCAGTTGCCCAGCTTGGAGACTCGGTCACTCCAGTCACTCACCGGTAACTCTACACTCACCCAGGCCAATAGCACTCACACACTCTGCCCAGCTGCTCACATCTCTCCTACACGCACCCTCGCTCACGAGCCAATCCATTTGCACACGCCTGTAACCCCCATTAACGTTTCTTACCTGCAGGACGCTTTGTGTCAGCATCCTGATCCGGCTTTTGCCTCATTCGTAATACATTCTTTGTCTTACGGGTTCGATATTGGGTTTGCTGGTCCCCGTACCTTCCGAGTCTCTCGTAATCTCAAATCAGCGATTGAGCACCCTGACATTGTCGATGCTGCCATCGGTCGTGAAATTGCCGCAGGTCGCATGGCCGGTCCCTACCAAGAGCCCCCCTTCACACTTACACAGGTCTCCGGTTTGGGTGTGGTTCCCAAGAAGTCACGGTCGGTGCAAAAATGGCGCTTGATTATGCATCTGTCAGCACCACAGGGCCACTCAGTGAACGATGGTATCCCTGTCGACAAATTCTCTGTACAGTACTGTTCGGTCGACGACGGCGTAAATCTCGCACGGTCCCTAGGCCGTGGCTGCCATCTGTGGAAGGTCGACCTCCAAGACGCATTTCGCATTTGTCCAGTACGGAAAGAGGACTGGGAACTATTATGCCTGTTCTGGCGCGGGCAATATTACGTGGACAAATGCCTACCCTTCGGCCTTCGCTCATCACCGTCGCTGTTTAACAAAGTCGCAGACGCCCTCCAGTGGGTCATGTCGCACAACTTCGACGTAGCCCCAGTCATCCACTACTTAGACGACTACCTTGGTGGAGCGACGGACTCTATCGGCGCACAGCACCAGCTTGACCGTGCCCTGGTAGCCTGCCACGACTTAGGCTTCCCGGTCAATCCAAAAAAGGTGGAAGGCCCTAGTACAACCCTGACATTCCTCGGTGTCATGCTGGACACAGAGCGCTTCGAAATCCGCCTCCCATCCGACAAGTTAGAAGACCTTCTCATTGCCCTCAAGGCTTGGCAACATACCCGCCCTACCGCCCGCAAGTCTGAATTGTTGTCCCTGATAGGTCACCTCAGCTTTGCCTGCAAGGCGGTCCCTGCGGGCCGCATGTTTCTGCGCCGCCTCATTGATCTCAGCACGACGGTCCCGCATCCAAACGATTACATCAGAATCACAGAAGACGCCAAAGCAGACATCCAGTGGTGGCTTGACTTCCTCCCTGCCTGGAATGGCGTCGCCTTCTTCCTAGAACCCACGTGGTCAGCCGCCGCCGATATGGACCTCTACACGGACGCATCTAGAGCCATCGGCTATGGTGCTTTCTTCGCCGGCCGGTGGCTCCAACACCGGTGGCAGAGGCACCAATCCCAGAGATCCATCGCGTGGATGGAGCTCTTTGCCATCGTGGCCGCAGCATCCACATGGGCACCGCAGCTGCATCTGAAGCGCATCCGCTTCCACTGCGACAACCGTAGCGTATGCGACATCTGGCTCCGCTCACGCACAAAGTGCCCCGACTTAATGGCGCTGGTACGCACTTTGTTTGCCATTGCTGCCCGACACAACTTTCACGTCATAGTCTCCCACATCCCCGGCACTGACAATGCGATTGCTGACTCTCTGTCTCGGTTTTAGATGGCCCGATTTCGCCGACTGGCACCCACAGCAGAAGACACGCCATCTCCGGTGCCCGAGAGCACCTACTCCCTCTGATGTTGGAGGGTCAGGCCTACCAGTGGCTAGGCCTGTCAGCGTCCACACGTGCCACATACGCGACAGCCTGGAAACGACTGCACCAATTCTGCCAACTAGTCGGCACCAAGGTGATTACAGACACCATCATGCTGGCGTTTGTAGCCTACCTGGCGCGTCAACATGCCGCGTCAACCGTCCGCCTGTATGTGTCGGCGATCCGGGCAATTGCCAAAGAAAACGGCAAAGATCTCTCGTCGCGAAGAGTGGACCTCGCAGTTCAAGGAGTGGCACGTGCACAGGCCAACCGAACTAAAAACGCCAGTAAGCCAATCCTCCTGCCCCACATGGCAGCTATGCGCAGGGCCCTGATACGGTCTAACCTCAACGCGACCGACCGAGCCATGGTATGGGCAGCTATTTGCCTGGGCTTCTTTGCGTGTCTCCGGGCAAGTGAGTACACTTCCACAACCGCCACGACCATGTCAGACGGTGGCCTCCGAACAGAAGACCTCTCCATCACGCCGCAGGCAATACAGGTCACAATCAAGAAGTCCAAGACCGACCAACTCGGCAAGGGTCACTCCGTCCGGCTCACAACCACCAACTCAACGGTTTGCCCGGTCAAAGCCATGCATACCTATCTATCAAGACGCCCCAACCTGCCCAATAGACCACTGTTCGTTGACAGCTGTGGCAAGTTCCTAACTGCACCAAGACTCACCCGTCTAATCCGTCAGCTCCTGAGCAGCGCAGGGTACCCACCTATCCAGTATTCACTGCACGGCCTCAGAGCCGGAGCCGCAACCACAGGAGCAATGAGCGGCTTCACCGAATCCGAGATCATGAAACTCGGCAGATGGCGAAGTGCCTGCTACAAGAACTATGTACGCTGTGGAAAGTAACTGTTCGCCGTCCGCAGGCGCGCAAGCGCGCACAGCCACACCCACATACACGCACCCGCAGACACATACACACGCACGCACACACACCCACGCATGCACACACACATGCATGCACGCGTACACGCACCCACAGTCTGACACCGCACAAGCATGCATGCAGGTACACACGCTGCGCACACGCTGGTACGCCCATTCGCGGACGTATGCACTCACGTTCTAGCACTGACTGTGCACGCACGCCTCTGATACTTATGATAAGTTATCTGCACCACTCTGTTGCTGTGCTATAGCTCCCACCTAGCGGTGTGGGACACCCCATGCTATGGCGGTGTGGGACACCCCAGACCATGGCGGTGTGGGACACCCCATGCCATGGCGGTGTGGGACACCCCATGCCATGGCGGTGTGGGACACCCCATGCCATGGCGGTGTGGGACACCCCATGCCATGGCGGTGTGGGACACCCCATGTGTGCACGCACGCTCCGACTACATGCGATTCAAACCCTTCTCGGTGTCACTAAGGGAAAACAAACATGCGAAGGGCACGCATTTGAACTACGTACATGTAGCTGAAGCGCTTGAATACCACACTAAGGTCATTCGGCTGACCAACGCGGAATTTGGGGGCATTCGGCGGCTTGGTCTGATTCCTAGCTTGTTGGTAACCGGCTTGAGGTTTCCAAGGTTGCTATGACAACGTGCAGTCATGCGCAGGGCCACCCAACATGCGTTGGGGGCCCAGGAAAGACAGAAACGCGTTGCTAGGCAACAGCAAAAGCGCTCAGCGAGTATCACGCTACTCATGCAGCACGCACGCTGGCTTAGGGTATCACGCTACCCTTGCGCTGCGGGGTACCACATTGCCCCTCGCTGGAATCAGACCCGCGCCCCGGATACCTTGCGCTGGCCTCCTGACGGCCAAACTCAACCAACTTGCGCGCTGTGACTGGGGTTGTGCATGCCTTAGCAACATAATGTGGCCCAGGTCGGCAGACTTTCAATTAGCCAAGCGAGCTACTCAGGCCAGGGCGCATGATCACTATTCGCAGCACTTATCGTCCATGCAGCAGTCGGGTTAAAATCGGTTGTGGCGACAAACGCGATTAGGCCGGCTGCAGGGACGCCGTAATGTCGCACTCGCCCCAGCACCATTCAAACAGTTCCCTTTGGCAGTTCACGGCACGAACTTCAACAAAGCCCCGTGAATGCGTACTAGGGGAAGGCTAGACAGCATGTCTCTAGACATCAATAGGCATCGTATGAAAAGCCAGTCAATAGCACTAAAGAGCGAAAGCCTTTGTCACGGTTCGGTTTCACTCGCGCACCGGGCCCGAGCTGCCAGCGCAAACAAATGCCGGGCGCGAGCTGGCAGCACGAACAAACACCGTACTCACACGAGACCGCTGGGCCAACGGATGGCCACAGCCATCAAAAACAGGAACAAACCCATCCACGGCTCTTTCTCTTGCTAGCTGTGCTGCTGCGTGCATCCAACTGTTTTGCAATTTCTCCCTCCCACCCACGCCTCTTGATCTGTCCTAGCTCACTATTCTGGACAAATATTAATTCAATTGCAATGAAGCGCCGGGGGCCGGCGGGGGCATTCGGCGGCTTGGTCTGATTCCTAGCTTGTTGGTAACCGGCTTGAGGTTTCCAAGGTTGCTATGACAACGTGCAGTCATGCGCAGGGCCACCCAACATGCGTTGGGGGCCCAGGAAAGACAGAAACGCGTTGCTAGGCAACAGCAAAAGCGCTCAGCGAGTATCACGCTACTCATGCAGCACGCACGCTGGCTTAGGGTATCACGCTACCCTTGCGCTGCGGGGTACCACATTGCCCCTCGCTGGAATCAGACCCGCGCCCCGGATACCTTGCGCTGGCCTCCTGACGGCCAAACTCAACCAACTTGCGCGCTGTGACTGGGGTTGTGCATGCCTTAGCAACATAATGTGGCCCAGGTCGGCAGACTTTCAATTAGCCAAGCGAGCTACTCAGGCCAGGGCGCATGATCACTATTCGCAGCACTTATCGTCCATGCAGCAGTCGGGTTAATGCAAAGCACCACATTCAATTATGTACATGTATTTGCAAGAAAATCAAGTGAATTGCTAGAGTTGCTAGAAACGAATGTTTTGAGAAAAGCAGGCCAAGCGGCAGCGGTATAAGACACAGAAGAAAGGAAAATAGTAGTGCAATACAAATCGTTGGTTTTCCTTCAAATGAAGAACAGCACGCAAATTTCATTTGAATTCGAAAAAAAAGAAAAAAGAACAAAAATGCCCCAGGGGAGGATCGAACTCCCGACCTTCGCATAACTCAGTCACAATGGCACTGCTTATAAGTACGACGCGCTAACCGACTACGCTACTGGGGCAGATGACTTGCTTAAGATGCAATCAGCACTAGACTGTACCAGCCAATGTTCTACTTCTAGCAATGTTGGAACACAATAACGTTGTCAGGGTAACATTGCTTTTTTTCATTCCGATTCCTCGGGTGATAATATTTTGTTGCCATTCTTTCATCATTCTCAGGTAAACAAACAAATGAGACAACAACAAGCTTCGGGCTGACAAGTTTCATAACGGTACGTGTTTCACCACCCCTCACTGACTGGTCACATTGCAAGTCGAATCACTGGCAACAGTTCATATGGTTACGAAAACTGAACACTCTCCCATTGTTTTCTCACAGAAATTATTATTGTGTGGATTGTTGCTTTGATACTTCTGTCCCCGGGAGAAAACAAGCCGAAAACGATGTAGAAAAAATCCGTAGCGCCTGTACGGAGTTTGGTATGGAAATTCGTACTCCGGAACCTCTATTACAATCAACTTCGCTAATAACGACTGCGGAGATAAAGACGATTCGCGAATAACGACATAATTTCTATGCCCAGAGTAAAGTCCCATCCAACTGACATTTTAACTTTGGATATAACGACTATCTGAGTAACGACAATTCGCGAATAGCGACATGATTTTAGTGCTCCGAGGTCAAATTCACTGCTTGAGTAACGACTTTCTGGGCTTTCACAGCTATTTCAAGTACCTGTCATGCAGAAGTACCAGATCTGCAGAACCCATGGCGATGGATAAAAGCACATGCAAGAACATGCAGCCAAGGGGCGGGGGGTGCTTTTTCCATCTTTTTCATTGTGCTTCAAAATAGCTGGAGTGATCAGCACAACTACATGCACATGTCTCTGTAGATGGCTTCAAAAGGCTAATTTTTCAATTTATTTTCCTTGCATATTGACGGTATAGTTCCTTTCAATCGCAATGTGAAAATAAAGTACACAATAACATAAAGTATGAACAGATCTTCATTTTGATAATTATGCATGTAAAAAAGAAAGAAATATTTCACGATTCTGAGACTTGGCTGGAAGCCGAGCTTTCCGCATCCGTAGGAACACCACCACCCTCTAGGATCAAGGCACCTCCTAACGCTTAGGAGCTGCATCTGCGCCTTGATACGCATGTCATACTATACAAAACATGGGTTCATATACATTCAAATGGGACTTAAGGACACCTCGCGAATAAGGACACTTTTTTGATGCCCCGCCGAGTGTCGATATTCGCAAAGTTGACTGTACTGGACATAACATGCCAGGAACAAAAACTTGTTCTACAAGTACAGTCAACTTCGCTAATAACGACTGCGGATATAACAATTCGCGAATAACGACAGAATTTCCATGCCCAGAGCAAAGTCCCATCTAACTGTAATACCAAGAGTAGATAAACAAGAGTGTGCAACTCCGGGATTGATTGGCCCGCGGCGGAATTTTTTGTTGAAGTAATCTTTTTGACGACGCACGCGCTGTGAGTCTTTTGGAAAGTTTAGCCTCGTGCACTTGGCCGGGCTTTACATTACAAGGTCGGTGCCCAGCACGTGCTCTCACACTGCTCTGCAGCAAAATGCGCGTTTTTCTGAAAAAAGTAGGGCTGAAACGATCATCCACTTAGCCCAATCGATTACTCTTTATCATAACGATCGATTATTCGATTATAATCTTTAAGAGGCCGCACCTGGAATATTTTTTTTTAAACGCAAAATAATCGTAATCGGTAATCTAAACGATTGCTCGATCGTTAGAGTTATCAAACGAGTGCTCGATTATTCGGTATAATCGTTTCAGCACTAGAAAAATGGTGACGTCAACAAAAAATTCCGCCGCGGGCAGGGGTATCAGCAGATTGTGCAGAAGAGATCCGGAGTTGCACACTCTTGTTTATCTACTCTTGGTAATACATATAATGAGACTTCGGGTATAAGGACACTTTTCTGACGCCCCGCCGAGTGTCGTTATACGCAAAGTTGACTGTACATCGGAACTCACCCCGTCCATCTCATCATCATCTAGGTCAGATAAAGATTCTCCGGCGGGCTCCGTTCCCTCAACGTCAACACTTTCGGGCTTCTCTGGAGCTGTGGCAGAGTCTTCTTCTGCATGCAAAGCAAAACAGGTGTGGACCACCAACAGGACATAGCATTTCGCTGGACACTGTAACTCAACATTGCCTATGAATAGCAGAGTGCACGTACAAGCAGAAGTTCTGAACTTCTAGAGACGTTTTGGCAAAGGTAAAGCTAGAGAGTTCTCAAAAAAAGAGTCTTTAAAATACAAGCAAATTTGAGAGATTAGCCGAGTTGATGCGGGGAGCAGTAGCAGTGGCTTACCTGCATATCGACTAAGACCAGTTATAGCAGTGGCTTACCTGCATATCTACTAAGACCAGTTAAAGCAGTGGCTTACCTGCATATCTACTAAGACCAGTTATACTGCTGATGCCGCCAGCCGCCAATGCCGTCTCAACGTCTGCTTCCAGAGCGGTCCTTGTACCTTCTAACACAGCCAAGGACGAGTCGGACTTGCTGCTATCTGCCGTGCCTGATGCGGCATTAGTACCACTACCATCTGCGTTGGCTGATGGTGCATTACTACTACTAGCAGCTGTTACTGGTAGTAGCTCTGCTGTGCCATTGGCAACTGGACTCTCATCTAGAAGCGTTGACCATACAAGACATAGATAAAGACAACGGTGACGATTCACATTCAGCACACCCAGTACACAGTACACACAAGCGCTACAGTGTAAATACGCTGCAACATTGTACAGGTACGCTGCAACATTGTACAGGTATGCAGCACATATTCAGCTCAGTAGCGGATAAATAGACACACCAAAAGCAGACTTTGGATAATGCCGGCATGAGTGTATAGGTATGCAGCACATATTCAGCTCAGTAGCGCATAAATAGACACACCAAAAACAGACTTTGGATAATGCCGGCATGAGTGTATAGGTATGCAGCACATATTCAGCTCAGTAGCGGATAAATAGACACACCAAAAGCAGACTTTGGACAATGCCGGCATGGGTGTACTGCTTACCTGCTTCTTGTGCCACGGTCACTGGGGAACCAGCTCTTGACGCAACAGTGGAGGTGGCCACAGACGGAGCAGCAGAACTCTCCCCACCCTCCAGAGCCTCCTCAAAGATGTTCTGCATACGTTCCAGTTCTGAATGAACAAACAAAGCCGAAAATAGAATATGTCGTTGCTGATTGATGCGGCGTAGAAAACTGAACAATGCAATCGTACTAGTACAAGCTTGAAAAATAGAAGAAAAAAAGAGACAGGGCACACTCGGAGTTGAACCAAGGACCTCTCGATCTGCAGTCGAATGCTCTACCACTGAGCTATATGCCCCAACACGATAGTTCTAGCATCTACATTGACCTTTTAGCACCAATCCAACAAACGATTCCATGCAACACACAACAATAGGAAAGCGATCATGTCAATGATTGTTTTTCTGACTCAGAACCAGACAGCAATACACAAGTCAAACACAGCAAACAGTGGCCAGACCAACTGCACAGTGGCAAAATAGTCAAGGGGCCAAAATCGCAAACAGTGCCATTGCACAGTAGCGCAAGGTGGACAAGCATCTGGTCTGGACCACTGGAAGCAGTTTTTGATTGGTCCGGCCATACCATAGGCTTTCATACAGTTTGTGTACTGACTACTGTATAAGCAGAAATATTCGTCCGGAATTTAATTTCGTCTTTTTCGTCCAAGGAGCTTTTGGACTAAATTAAATGCCGGACTAATGTCGATTTGTCCAGCTTTTCAATATACTCTCATGATCCATGGACGAAATTTACAACCGGATGAACTCCCTTTCTTTGGAGTTGGCCAAAATTATTGACCGACGAAATTTTCTGCCTGTACTGAGTATGATATAGCTGGTGAACATAACCTCCTCAGCAGTTAACATGACATTGTGTGTTGGTGGCCAACAAGTTGGTCTGGTGATGACCTGACCAACCGGACCGGTTCCGACGGGCCTGTTGGTGTTCCTATAAGCTACACACCAGCTACACGGCACTAGTTTTCAAGTCCATCGCAGACGGAGCACTATTCAAGAGAGGGAGCGATTTTCAATGCTGGTCCAATGGCATCATCAAGACAGTGTTGCTGAAATAACAGAGGAGCACTGCTCAACTGGAACAAGGTAGGATTTGAGCATGCAACTACCAGTGCAACGTTGACATGGAGTGCAAGGACAATAGCAGAGCAACAGCACCAAACTTGCACACATGCTATGCTTGATAACAAGCCGGGGGCAATGCTGTAAAACAGGCAACGTTCTGCGATATTGAAATTGTCTCGACGAATGTGAAATCGCACGTTACCTGAAAGTGCGTCTGGATCAACGGACTGCCCATCTTCGCCCGCACCACTTGACTGGCCTTCAGCTCCCTAAGTTACCACACAAGAAAACAACACCGAGACTTTCATTAGAAAAAGAGAAAGACAAAGGGATTCATGCATCGCAAACTACCCAGTGTATAGCATAGACTCTGTGATTTCAACTTTTATTCCTCCCAAGTTCAAGGGCCTCTGCGTAAATGATCAGGGCTTGGCAAGTTGGCAGGGCTCCTGCTGGAGTGACTAATTACTTTACAGAGAGACTGCGCGCAACTCCGAGATTCCTGGTCTACACAATCGGCTGCCTTTGCATTCTAATTTCTCTTCTGGTCACCTGCATAATTATAACACTTTGTCAAGTAGTACACAACCTATACCAAAAGCTATCAGAAGAAGGGCTGGTCAGATAAGAGATCTACTCTTCTCAGGTCTAACACAAAGCCAGCTTACTTCTTCGTCCTCTTTCTTTGCATTCATCTGCCCAAAGGACGGTGGGTCGCTCTCCTCTTCCAAATCAATCTTGAGAAACTCATCAATAGTTAGGTTGCTGGATGGCGTTTGCTCAAATTCCGTCAGTCTGATACAAATGGAAAAATACACAATAGATTACGCTATGAAAATAATGAACCCTAGCACCCTAAGCAGACCCTCCACATTAGTCGTCTACTGCTTTGTCCTTCAGGGTTATCCCAGGTTGGCCAGACAGAAGCACACTTTCACGTCATAATGTTAGCTTTCAATTAACATCAACATGACCACAGTCTAGTCAGCTGCATGTATGCCTACATTGACTAGTATGGCTGGCTGCAGCATAGCCCACATACTACAGTCTAGTCAGCTGCATGTATGCCTGGGTGGTGCAGCATAGCCCACATACTACAGTCTAGTCAGCTGCATGTATGCCTGGGTGGTGCAGCATAGCCCACATACTCGCACGTGCAGGATACAGAACATGCTGAGAAAATACGGAGGATTTAAATAGCAAGACGAAATTCACATTCGTGTTCGCACTCCAAAGAAAGTCGAACTCAGTGACGGAATTCGCGTTATGAGAAGGATTAGCAAACAGAATTCGCACGTGCATGACGTTGACACGTTGTACATTGTGCACAGACAGTACAGCGGAGTAAATTTATGACCGTCCTGACACGAATCCGCGATTCATGTTTCGACTACTTTTCCGAACGAAAAAATGCGAAAGTTCGCAACCCAGTTCGTGAACCGAAAAATGTTCGCGAACACGAACGCGAATTTCGTCTTGCTAATCCTCCGTATTGATAACAAAGGACACACAAATACAGGAGATGAGAGGCTGCGTTTGCTGTTACTTTCATGCGATCATCAGACAGCATTCAATAATTGATACACAGTAGCATTACGTGCCATGCATGTACATGTACAGGCAATCACACTATGTACATGAAGAATAGCAGCATATCGCCGTGGTAGTATTATCATTACTATCCTTCAAACAAAATAGAATTTATATACTAGTTAGTAGGCACTAGTAGTTAGTGTAAGTACCTCTTCTTCAGGGTGGCATCACACACTCGTACTACACGGATGATGTCCTTCTGGCTGCGGTTGAAGTTATGCAGACGAGCAGCCACTAACAGAGCTGGTGACAGGTGACACAGAGCACAAGCCAAGCAACGCACATGCACACATACACCCACACGCACACACACGCACACACACACCCACGCGTACACACACACACGTATCCATGCACACACACAGTATATGCACACAGCACAGGTTAAAAAAAGGTGACGACAATTATCGCACGTAATCAATACGCACAGTGGGACAACAGCGGAAATTTACATTTTTCCAGTGTGTTTGTCCATCATGCCTGTACCACCAAGTCAAGCAAATAAGGAGAATGTTCCAGTGTGGCAACAGAGGCGAATAGTAACGTAGCTGAGACCAAGTTCATTGAGTACTTCAAAAAAATTAAAAAAGGAATCGAGCCGGGCTCCCAACAGCAGGAAATTCGCATGGCAGGCTCGCCTAATTGCTATAATTATGATACAGCAGCTTGGGGTCCTCGTGGCATTCTCTGGTAGAACGTTCCCATGTGTGTGTGTGTGTGTGTGTGTGTGTGTGTGTGTGTGTGTGTGTGTGTGTGTGTGTGTGTGTGTGTGTGTGTGTGTGCATGTGTGTGCATGTGTGTGCATGTGTGTGCATGTGTGTGTGTGCGTGTGTGTGCGTGTGTGCGTGTGTGCGTGTGTGCGTGTGTGTGTGTGTGTGTGTGTGTGTGTGTGTGTGTGTGTGTGTGTGTGTGTGTGTGTGTGTGTGTGTGTGTGTGTGTGTGTGTGTGTGTGTGTGTGTGTGTGTGCGTATACATACACAGACAATAATACTGGCTGTAATGCTCCATCCAACAAGGCACAAGGCTAATGAATGGTGTTCTTTTTTCAAGCCCAGGACAAACTAGCACTGCATGCCCGTGGGATCTAGGATACACATGATACACATGCACACACAGATACGCATGTACAGTCAGACCTCGCTTATCCGGTCCTCTTTTATCCGGATCCCTCGTCATCCGGAAGAAAATAGCTGGTTGCATATTTACAGCATACGTGATGTATCCAACATAAACTGTGTTCGGTTATCCGGTTCCCTCGCCTATCCGGTTATTTTTGTGGAAAGCAGATGTGTGCGGTTAAGCGAGGTCTGACTGTACTACCAATGGTATGCGCTATGCAGGTTGGCAACGTCTCCGTCAGCCAGTACTCACCCGCACCACAAAGCCCAGCCGGCCGTCGACCTACATCCATCCAATCACGTTTCATACGAGACACTAATCGCATGGCTGTCATCGACACCTCGTGCGTTTTATCGCCAAAGTCCAGCTTGTGTGCAAAGCGAGGGATGTACAAACATGGATCTAGGACAACACACAAATGCACGGTTCACATGACAGTCAGATCTAAGACAATTTAAAATAGTTCACATAATCGCAATAGAGAAAATAATGCTAAAAATAAAAAATTAATTAAACACCATCCTGCATATCCAATCCATATCAGATGCATCCGTACAAAGTTGAAAATAGACTCCAATACCCTTTTTTTCATTTCCAACGCGGCTGAAATCCAAACTTCATTTCCAGACAAGAAACGTGTGATTGCAAAGGCACCACCGAGTCACAATTTGTAAAGAAAGTTGTGAACACCCAAAAACAGCTGGCCACAATTTGCACAATATTGCACATCTCCCAGTATAAGGCTGCAATCTCCCTTGCCAGATATCAAAGCAAGTCTTCGTGCCGAGTACACAGACGCAGACACCAAACCACTTGCCCGCACTCAATCTGTGCATCACAGTATTGATTTGGACACTGCACACTGCATGCATGACTGTAGCACTACCGAAACTCGTACTTACCCACGGCACGAGCATGTATACACAAGGCAGTCGCCAAGTGAAGATAAGCACGACCGAGCAAGTAGACGTTCGTTTGAAGAGCGTCACTGAAATCAAGCAGCATATCTACAGAGTAGCAAAGTCTAGTCAAGGATCATCGTGAGGACAGACTGATGGTGAAGTATACCACATTGCAGCGCTTGGAATTAGCGCCCAGTCTTAAACATACCATACAGATAGATATCGATTATCTAGTCATATCATACTTGTAAGTTTGAAGCACATGCCTCAACATGTAAACATATTAAGCACTTCTTGCAAAGTATTGCCATTTGAATGCAAGGATGGCACCCGGCCAATGTAGAAGCAAGAGGAAACACACATGGATGCTTCAACATAGTAGTGCCTGCGGCAGCACATGTACATGTGCCAGTTTAGTGCTTAATTCCAGATCAGACATGAAAAGTATGACACATGCACAACTTTATTCAGAACAAACCGAGTGCACAGGTTTGGGAATGCAAACTCCAATGTTCACAATGGCAATGTTGCCATGTGAATTTGAGAATAGCAATGGGTAAGATCAAGAGTACATAACCCCCAGAGTGTGCAACTCCCACATACCCTGCTGTCCCGACAGAATTTCAAGTTGACGTCATTATTTATGACGCAATGCTCCTTGCACCAGTGATTTACAATTGTGTACGGGTGTCAACGCATCACACGTTTTTCTTTGCAATAATTTGTACAGGATCGATCGGCTTCGGTCAACCACAGGTTCCGGATTCGTCTGATAATCCGTGTACAGTGCGCATTGCATCATCAAAATGACGTCAACTTGAAATTCTGTCGGGACAGCACCCATAGTGGAGTTGCACACTCTGAGGGGTTATGTGCTCTTGGTAAGATCAGTAAAGGACCAGGGTGCAAATCACACTAGTGACCCCTCGCTGCCTAACTGTGACGTAATAACTACCGTAATATCAATATTAGCCTAATCAATAATCAATATACCTGACGACTACAGCTGCATCAACAGCACCCACGCACACACAGACAATCAAACTGGTCACTGGCATCGCCTACAGCTGACAAAAAGATGCAGTCGCAGCACGAAGCAACCAACACTGCCCGCAAGCTACAAATGAAGAATTGGGCATGTACTGCACAGCTACGTGCAAATCTATACTGATCAGTGCAAGTAACACACAACACCTAGTTGTAGGATACGTGGCGTTCCTTCCGACCGACATACCAAGTACAGACACGCAGCAGCAATGTGTGAAGACTTGCGTCCGCGCGTCAAGCGATTCGTGAGTGCCATTTTGAAGAACATGTACGCTGAATCCACATGATGCTGGTTAAGTTGCAGCTGTTGTGCCAGACCTGCAATGCGACGTCGGCCTATAATTACATACAAACATAAAACACAGTCCGCTTCCAACAATCTATTTACCACAATAGTCAAGTGTCGAATGCCCACTGACAAAGAACTGATTTGCAAAGACTAGTGTATCAACTTGACAACAAGCCAAATGCATGCTGTTGATTTAGAAATATGGTTAATTGTTCTGAGTAAGTGGAACACAGCTAAATTATAATGAATTGTATACTCGTGCAGTCTTCAAAGTGTGAAATAAACCACTCACCATTTTGCAGAGTAACTTCCTTCGATTCACGACCAAAGCCATGGTGGAAATTCCCTCTCATAGACCGCCCACGTGTTCCTGGACAATAATATTATTTCAACGAAAAGAAAAATTCAAATTTCTCTTTATCTGAATACATACTACATATTGGCTCAACATCAGAGTTTACCAAATTTAGGTATTCGATATTCGCGCCCAATAAGCTATTACAAGAGGACAGTAAATTCACCGATTTCCATTGAGAATAGCTTACCTTCAGAAGAAACATACTGTCCAATTACATTCGTTCCACCGCTGGCATTTTCCAAAAATCCAACCTATAAGTGCGAACAGCAAGTGGTGCTACTTATAACTATTACTGAGGAGATAGTCTTCACTGCAAAGTAGTTCCTTTCGTACCTCTGATACAATCTGACCCTCTTCCAACACAGCTCCACAGTTCGTGCAGACAACATCCCCTCTCGCCTGATCTGTCTCCAAATCACTGCACCCACAGCTTTGGCACGTCGTCGGCATTGTTCACACGAGATGCTTTTACGTTACCAGGGTACTGGTACAGGATGTACTATCTTAGACCTCCATCCATGGCAAAGAAGACTGGCAGCAGGTAAATGTATTGTGTTTCCAAACACACAAAGCGAGCACTGAAGAATGATTGATTCCAACAGGAGTACCTCTCAACCTCGTCGTCATCTTCATTTTCAATCGCACAATCTCATTGCATTCTCAAGTCAAAAATGTCATTTTTCAGCGCAATGACCATCGATGAGTCTTTCGCAGAAATCAGTGATTGGGAGTCGTAAAATACCGGGATTTTACGACTCCATGATAGAAAATTTGATCCTGACGTCATATGACGTCAATACTTGTAATAAAAATAATTATTATTAGGCCAAACTAAAGAAGGTGTGTGGTTCGACTAACATGGACATTTTTTTTACGGGCGGGCGGGCGGATTTTTTTTTTTTAATATATATTTTTAGTACATGTAAATACACTGTATACGCGTATCGAGTAGACTCTACTACCAGCACAAGGCAGCAGTCGTACCACTCACTGCACTGCACTGCAGTACAACTACAAGTCAAGTCCAAAAGGAGCCGCCTGCGTCCGCAGACTCACGCCGCACAGCACGTAGACGTGGACGTGTTCAGTCCACGTACGTCAGTCACACGATAGCCCGCCGAAAAAAAGTTACGGTCGGGCTGAAATTGTACGGTCGGTCGGGTGAGTCGAACCACACACCTTCTTTAGTTTGGCCTTATTGTATTTGTTGTAGTAGTTACACATGCACAATGCATGCACGCGCACTACACCAAGGCCAGGGCAGGGTTGCTCGGATCCAAATCCGAAGGATCTGGATCCGGATTCGACCAATCGATCATTGCAGATCCAGTGGATCCGATGGATCTGGATCTGGATCCGACCAAACGATCACGGCCCAAGAGTTCATAACCCCCGGCCCGGGGTTATGAACTCTTGACTTCACATTTTTACACTGTCTACATGTACGTCTGAGTCTGTACTGTGTCATCATCATCACTGTGTATCATCAACCGGAGTAGATTATACTAGATAAACGTTTATCTACTCTTGGTATCATCAAGAGTACATAACCCATTATGTACTCTTGGTATCATCAAGAGTATATAATTATAACCCGGGGTTTATATGTACTCTTGGTATCAGGTACTGTACACATGACTGTATGATTTGTTGTACACAGGGAGTCGTCAAATACTTGACGACTCCCTGGATCACATGTACATGTACATTGTCATTGATGTGATGCCCGGGCCCGGCTAGCTAGCTGGGAGTCGTAAAATTTACAACTCATTTTACCTGCTTTGATGTTCATTCAGCTGATGCATCAATGCAAGGTCTGGTCGACCACCGGTCGGTGGATACCAGCACACGTGTACGTAACCGTAAGTCGACGGTGAAATGGCACAATCTACAACAAGAACGTTTGGAGACATGCAGTCTTCTTTTCTCATAAAATTATGCTCACTGGAGCCAGATAAAAGCATCCGGAGACTGACATGAAGCCAAGTAGTCCATGCTACGGTATTCTCTTCAGCTAATTAATTTTGAATCATGTCCTTATTGTACTTTTAAATCTGTAACATGACGATCAACACAAGCCGAACATCATCAGTCTCTATCTCAGTAGCCACAAACAATCAGTACTGTGACTGCTGTCACATCTTACAAAACCGTACTACATGTCACATGATCTCCTCTGACCATGATGGCATCCGACCATCAGTTCGTGCCTGGTGCCTAGTCGCCAGGTCATGGTGGCCGGCATGGCGATATCTTACTTGGCAGCCTAATACATGTACTTTGAAGTACATCGGTTCATGCATCCAGGCACATCATGATGACACAGCAACGGCCGTTCCTGAACTGCGCAACAACTGATCATAAACTTCATAAAAGTGTCTGCTTTGCCTACATGTCCGTCCATGGCATGCAGTTGCTGCTGCAAGAATTCTTCTCTGACATCATCACCTTGTACATCATCACCCGGTTCATCTTCCGCGTCCAGTGCTGGATGCTACTTTGTAGTGTGCACCTTCTTTTCCCGAAGGCTCCACGTGGAAATCAACTCTTGATTCGTTTCAGTAATGCCTATGGGAGCCCGCTGCCGTCAGTATCTCTGCAACACTCTCACTCTGCACTCCGCACGCACACCAGTCAGTCACCGTCTGAGAGTTACCACTGTTACACCATTCTCACGAAAGCCGGGTATGGTTGAACTTTACACCATCAGCATCTTTATCACAACGCATGCTGATGGTTCAAGTTGCAAAACTGCTGTGCCGCATTTTTGGCTTCCTCTCGGACAGTACACTGAGCGCGACTCGGAGTCTGTTAGTCAGGCTGTCATCTCCGCATACCGACATTATGCTCAGTGCTGAACACACCGCTACACTTCCCTTCTTCCCAGATCGCCACTCAATGTGACTTGAAAAATAGTTGGTGGACAAGCCAATGGTTAGCCACTCTCATTGTAAAATAAAATCCTTTCAGAACATTGTTTGCAAAGTTATAGGCGTGATGTGTGTGATGTTCGGCGTGTGATGTGTGCTAAAACCGCCAGTTTACAGAATTTCAGCATGCATGTGGAGTCTTCAAGCCACAATTACTATTAATTAAAATTAATCTGATCAAATGAATGACTATGAAGATAAGAAAGCCGGAATCTGGACACAGCATAGCTCAGCACAGCGGCACATACACAAGTCTGTATACTGCGAATATTCTGGTCGACAATGCATGATAAAATAAAGTGGTTCAGTTGGTGATGGCCCTACATAGATATCCTGGTTGCGCCAGGTAGAGCTCAGTGGTACCAACGGTAAGTGACACTGGTGACTGACAATGTGCAGCCAACAGCAAACTGAACAAAGGTCTACTGTACTCAGGTACTGGGGGAGGCAGGATTTTGAGCAAAACAAAACCACGACAAACGATTACGAGTGGTCCACAAGTATGCGATGGAGCAGCCATTATTTGACATGCATGTAGTCCATGGAAAGAGATAATGGTATACTTCCGAGTTCAGCTTCTATTCCGCAATCCTGATTTCTTCCTGTGTACGTGTGCATGTGCAGCTTTATGCCTATGGTTAAAGTCCATAACTATTCGGACATGAGTCCGGCAAACTCTGTACTGTACAAACCCTACTAACTGTCACTGATAACCGTGGGTGTTGAGTCCGTAGTGAAGTCACACACCTTTTCAAAGAGAATGAAACCGTCCCAGGCTTGACGGCCCGTATGTGCAGTGGTGATGGAGTGATCTAGGGATCATGCTGCAGTTCACTTCGTCAGTGTTCCAATTACGTACACCGTGTCCGGAATATTTCTTCCGGACGCCTGCTCGTCTAATTTCTCTCCACCGACATTCTCGAAGTGCAGAATTTCGTAGTTCTCAGGAGCACCAGGCAGACCCCGACGAGCCATTTCCAATTTGCTCAGCATCGCTGTCAGGGTGACAATAACTTCAGTCTTGCCTTGTTCAGTAAAAAGAAATTTAATCAATGGCATGACTGCTCGGGTGATTCAGATAAAACAAAATAGGTGCAAGATAGAATCCAACGACTGCCTAGACGCTAGACGTAGACCTACGAGTATCCCTAGCTCCTTTCTACCAAGAAGACTCGATCGTAGATCTAGGAGACTATCTTGCAGTTGCAGCAGCTATTACGGCACTTTGCCTTTGGCCGTACCGCCGTACAAACTTATTATTTTTGTGCTGACAAACCAAAATCTGGAAGCGGAAGCCCTAAAACGGGGGCCGTAGTTATACTACGAATCTCTCTATTCTGTCTGAACCAGGTACGCAGCGCAGGGGGGGGGGGGCTACAAAAGGCTATTACAGTCGTCCCTCTCTAATCCGGCACTTTATAATCCAGCACCCTCGATAAACCGGCACAATTTTCAGTAGCCAAATGTCCTCTTCATGCACATTGCAGCAGTAGATCAGATTTGTTAATCCAGCACCCTCCCTAATCCAGCAGATTTTCGTGGCACAAATGGTGCCGGATTATAGAGGGACCACTGTATTATGTATGCCAGTCATGATGCAGATGCCACAAAATGAATGCAGACTCCCTAGCCCTGCCTGTAGATCTACTACATGTGGGCTACACTACACTGTTCTTTCCTGGAAAGGAATGGGCTGCCCAGGCATAAGCCAGTGATTTTCATAAGCCAAGCATGCGAAGCATGAGCCTTCGCATAAGTGGCTCCATAGTCTCAAAGAACTATAATATGAGGAGTCGCATTAGTCCGTAATAAGCCAGGTGAAGGTCTCAGTGTTATTGTAGGAAGCTGAGTATTATGCATCTTCTTGCGGGGCGAATCGCTTTTATTCCAATCCAAATTAGCAAACAGCAACCATGAAAAAGAAGGCATAAAGGAACAGCAAAATTAATGAAGGTACAGTGTATATACCGGGTATGCAAGAAACACCTAATTTCCTAAAAAGAAGAAGAAAAAAAGTGAATGAAGTCTCACACACTGAAAGCAAAAAAATAGAAACCACTAAAACGGAGTGATCCAATAGACCCCACTCAAACATGGATAAAACACAGTCAGCATGTTTCCACAGCAAATCAAAGCAAAACATTCAACAAACAACGAAACAAGAACAACAACAAGAATGGATCCGGTTTGAATAGTGAAGTAATAAATAAAGTCAGTCCATGTCTATGCATCCTCTTGCTAGTAACAACCCCTTTATCACAAAACCAGACAAAACTCTCAGCGATCAGAGGGAGCCCTGAAGGCTAAAACCCATGCATGATTAACCCTGGATGTTTCTCATGTCATCAGGTGAATGGGGTGATTTACTTAGGGAGGCTTACACTACTTCCCGGAGTAAACAAGCTCCTACTTGACCACATGCACCCTGCCTGCTGATCCAGTACATAGAGTGTTTCATCACAGCAAAGGTGCACAGCAACCTTAACTACCGGAGAGGAAGTATGAAATTAGAAAGGCGTCCATTTCGACATTAAAATAAAAAGGTTAAAATGACTGTGAATATCACTGAACTAGATTGATCTGTGCATGCAATGTACATAACGGAATAGTGGAAGGGTGAGATACACAGCAGAGCTGAGCAAAACATAGAAGCAAGAGCAGCAGCAGCGACAGCGGCCAGCAGCAGTCGCAGTAGCACCAGCAGCAGCGACAGCGGCCAGCAGCAGTCACAGTAGCACCAGCAGCAGCGATAGCGGCTAGCAGCAGCGACAGCGGCCAGCAGCAGTCGCAGTAGCACCAGCAACAACAAAAAAAGCACCCGCCCAAAGAAGATCAGCTGGATGTAGGAGAAGCAGCAGAAGCAGTTGCTTTCCACTCCTCTATGCGCCGACGTAAGTCTGGAAGGGCCTCCAGCATGTCCGGGGTCAATGGTGAGCGATTAAATGGGTCACTCTGATCCCTACAAGAAAAAGACGATAAGAAACAATGCTGCCTACATGTATATACAACGTCTAGTGAAGCACAAGTCATGCCAGAACTTTCAAGACAAATTGATGAAATGGCATTGCTTGCACTAGTGGGGCTACTGGCAATACGAATATGGAAAATGAAGGATTGTCACTGACACCACCAACATGTTTTCAAATTCAGGCCCGTCGCACCGACTTTGGAGGTGGGGTGGCTATGGAAGGGGGTCCGGGGGGTGTCCCCCGAAAAAATTTCAAAAAATGAAGCCAATTGCAAGCATTTCCGGGCATTTGGTGCCATGTCTGTGTACGGTAACTACAATGAAAGACTTTTTGATTCTGCAACAAACCAAGAAGACGCTACGATCGGGGACAAACATTACCCTCCCCGGGAAAAAATTCAAAAATTGGAGCCAATTGCAAGCATTTCCAGGCATTTGGTGCCATTTCAGTGTAACTGCAATGAAAGACTTTTTGATTCTGCAACAAACCACGATCGGGGACAAGGATTTGCCACGTTTGTGCTTAGCTGCGATCATCACGCTTTGTTGCAGTGTGCAAAAAAATAATAATATTATATGTAGCACTCAGTAGTCCACAAGCTCTCTATATGTGTTCACTCCTCTATATGTCATCACCTGTTTACTTTATGCCTATATGGCTTCACTGCGACTTTCTCTATATAACTCCAGGTCATTCTCTATATAACTCCAGACGCGACTTTCCCTATATATTTCCACTCAGGTTGAGACTTTCTCTGTATGACTCCAACTCGGATTGCCAACTTCTCCATTCAAAACCTGAGTTGGAGTCATACAGACTCGGGGGAGAGAAAGTCTCAACCTGAGTGGAGATATATAGGAAAGTCGTGTCTGGAGTTATATAGAGAATGACCTGGAGTTATATAGAGAAAGTCGCAGTGAAGCCATATAGGCACGAAGTAAACAGGTGATGCCGTATAGAGACAGTGACGACAAATAGAGAAATGATGCCATACTGAGTGTAACATATATACCGTATTTCCTCGATTAATGGACCATGCTCGAATAATAGACCATGCTCAAATAGTAGACCCTCCTAGAGGCCTCACGGAAAAATAGTAGACCATGCCCGAATAAGAGACCCGGTCTCTTATTTGAGTTCATCGCTTTGCGCATGCGCACTAAGAAAGCACGTGGTGGATCAAAAAAGGACGCGATTTTAGGTTGCGCAACTACAATTTGTAGTGGCTAGTGCTTCCTTTCATTATTTGAGCACGGTCCACTATATTTTCATCGGCACATCGCGGAAATGGTGGATTTTTAACACGTCATAATATAGAACTTCTATTATTATGATGTGTTAAAAATCCACCATTTCCAGCGATGTGCCGATGAAAATATAGTGGACCGTGCTCAAATAATGGACCATGCCCAAATAAGAGACCGGGGGCCCAACCCTCTTCAAAAAACAAAAGACCGGGTCTATTAATCGAGGAAATACGGTATATATAATTTACTAGCAAGGAGGGTGCTTTCCAGTATGCGCTTTCCAGCTAATTTGCCATGCTGGTGACATCACACGCTTAGCACGTCTGCGCAGGGTCTGTGGAGTATGAACACTCGCATAGACCACCATAGGCAGTGCCAGGGGATTGACATGTAGCTCATCGTCTGAGACTGACCAAAATGTGCATGGTAGATTCTAAAGTAGGCCGGGTGAAAGGGTTAGATAGGTTAACCGGTTATGTAACCGTTAAGAATAGAGGAGCAGTTAATCATTTGCGTAAAGGTTAATCGGTTATTTTCTCAAATGTATACTATACATAATATACGTAAATTGTTGAGCTGGATTCCTGTGAGAACAGGTGCATACACTGTGAGTGCTGTTCACAATGGATGCATGATGGGTATCACCCTCATCTCTGGGGTTGCACCCCATATTAGCGATACTTGCATATGCTCATGATGAGTTTGAGTTGAATAAATGACAAGGTGACTGTAAAGTCTGAAGCCCAATGGAGCATACCAAATTTTGAACCAACTCTGGAACACTGAGCAAGTGATACTACAAAGTTAGTGATAATTTTGGTGATTGTTTTGGCAGTGCGTGCGGTCATGGTCCTATGTACAACAATCGTACATGAATACAGGTTGCATGTACAATGTGTCTCTTGTAGGTTATAACCGTTTGATTAACCGTTAAGATTCCGGTTAGCCGATAACCTGAAACTTTAACCGCTTCAGCCCTATTCTAAAGGCAGTAACACTCTGGGTCTGGGACACAGATCTGTGCAGGCTGTGAAGACAACAATTATTTATGCGCATGTACATGCATATCTACTGAAGTATGCCGCTCGGATTTTTAACCTTTAATCGCCATACCAATATGCAACAGTGCACGAGAACTAGTATTGTCTATTGATAAACATTGTTCAACTTACGTGAGAAGATGGCGCATAATGGTTACACGGTCCACAACGTTTCCTGATGTGGGAAGTCGAACAGGATCTGACATGACACAGCTCATGATGGGATCCAAGAATTCAGCTGGTGCCTGAAATCACAAGTTTCAAGACACAAGCACATGCAATCACACATAGAATGAGCAATCGAGCCAGATCCTTACTACAGTCCATGCATAAGAAGATGAGCTCTGGCTCTTGTAAGCTCCCGTATTTGTAAGCTCCCGTATTTGGCGATTTTGGGGATTATACTGCACTGTGCACTGCTGCGAATTTCGAAATTTGAAAAAGGGTCCAAAAAAAAAGGTACCTCAACTGGATTTCGAACCACACAGTGTACTGCTGCAAGGGGAGTCAAACAGCCTGGATTTTCATGGCTTATCCCAATCGAGTGCTTTTGGGACACAACCAGACCGCACTATGATTCTGACAATAAATATCACACAAAACTCAATAAACATCACACACAACTCAATACCAATCTGACGTACCTCACTATCATTCTGATCAACAGATTGATTCCTTTCTTCTTCTTCGAGTATCCGCTGGGACAAGTCAAACCATTCGCCAAGCAAGTCTTGCTCGTTTAGAGTTCTGACGCAATACACAAATGAACACAGAGGCTCAGATGGTGAGCCAAGGATAAAATGACGCAAACTTGGGACCCAGTGCGTCCTATATTATTTCTGAACTTTTCTCCAGTCAGACGTGCACAATTTAGCACAAAATGGACAGGGAATAATGGCACATTCCACGGCATGATCCAGAGCTTGAGCACAGCTCGAGAGTGCTAGCCAATGTTCCTACACCTGCAAGATCCATGGTCATGAGTCTCGTAATGCCAAAGGGGAAGAAGGTAAGTGCCATTGAGCAGAACACAAGCTACATTGCATGACTGCGTATAATGCTGGCGTACGGCAATGACAATGGGACGGCGCTATGGTCATTGGGCATTACGGTCTAACCAAAATCCGACAATGCACTGCAACGACCACCCAACTTGGAACACATAACTCATGCCCCAGTTTTCCCATTTTCATCTCTGAACACACTGAGATAATGTACTTAAGTAGGAACCAATACACACGCGTGCACATCAACGTGAACATACATGTGTATAGTGAAGCATGCATACCGTGTTTTCGGCAATACTGGCCGACGTGCGTGCTTAGTAGTTTGCCAGCCCTAAAATGATGTGGCGCTTGTTTCAGACAGGCAGTCATAAAAGACCGGCGCTATTTTCCTAAAATACTGTATCATTATTGCAAGCCACTGTTTCTACAAAACTTCATATTTAGCGGCTACAACAGGATGTGCCAGCTAAAGTAGCAATGATCATATGTCAGTGCTGCCCAAGATGCTTGCACTATTTCTCACTCATACCAATATGCATCCTTCAATGCGGTGAACCCCTTGCTAGGCTGTCGCCAGCCTTCGGGTACCAGCACACAGTATGTAGCACACAGGGATGGACTGGTTGCCACCTCAACAGTTGCAGCTTACCCCAGAACACTTCTCGCTTGAGAGAGCAGGGATTGGCTGTAGGAGCGGCCATCTTTCGGCACAGCTTCAACAAAGCGCTCGTCCTTTCCCAGGCTGATGTAAATGGAGACAATATCTTTCACAAGTTGCTTCGGCTTGAAGGCGTGTTCCGCAAAATCGTTCACCTGTAACATACCATATAAACACACATACACACGTCACAGAGCACAACGCATCTTTGCTGTAACTAGTAGTTTTCATTGCCTTAGGCAATCATCAGACAACTGATATAACTAACCCCTGAACCGAAGGACTCTTATCTGAAAACATAGATTTCTCTAACTCGACAGCACCACACAACGTTCCTCTTAAAGCTCCACAGGATAAGAGAAAGACACAAACAGAAAGAACTGTAAAGAGCAGTCGAGGATGAAATTTATGTAACCACCAAGCATCACCGCCAGCTGAGAGTGAGAGCAGCAGTGAATTCCATGAAATTTGTTTTCACCGTTCGTGTGAGACTCGGTTAGACCGAGATTTCCGCCTCCATAGTGACGCCACCACCCCTCAAGGATCAAGGCACAGATGCAGCTCCTAAAGCGGTGGGAGTGGAGTAGATCAGATCCACCACCAAGTCGTCAAACATCGAAAAATCCTATTCGCAGCATCCATGTTTTGAATTCCATGCAGTTTCGAATTCCATGCAGACATGCTGAATTCGTGAAGTCATACTCACCCGGAGAGCACTCATCTTGGGACCAACCAACTGCTTCAAGAAGTAGTTGAGGAAGGCAACCATTCTGTCCAGCATGGTGCTGCAGGTGAATGGTCTGCAAACAAAATGCAACACACAGTCAAACGAACATGCTCATGTGTATAGACATAGTCACATCCCGGTGCACACATTTTTAAAGAGCAAGTTTGAGAGGAAGCATGTCATGGGAAACTCTCAGCACGCTACCAGTACCATGGACAGCTACCTGCACCACCGCCGTCGATCAGAAACTAAACGAGAGAGCTTGGAAGCTCAGGGCCCTACGCTATGCTTTTATGCTTTTTTGCCTAGCTCATCGTACATGTTATAAGAACTGATGGAAATGTCTTTTTCCGTTGATTGGCCACATCACTGTATTGCAAAAACGTTTCAATCGGTTTGAACATTAGGAGTTAGGCAAAAGTATTTGCAGAATTTATTGCGGATTGTTATTTCTCTAATAATCATCTACTTTTGGTTTGCTCCTTCTTTTCTTTTTATCTCCTTATACTGTAAATCAACAAATTTTGGCCGATGAGAAATAGAAACCTCTCGATCAGAGAGGTTAAGATGCACGTTATTTCCGACGTGACGCGCAATTTCACGTCAAATTTGAAATCGATTGGTATTTTTGCTCTCACATGCATCCATTGCTCAATCATGCATCATTTGCCTATATGACAAACTTTGGCCTGCGATTTACTTTGGCCGGTTGGTACGAAGCGGCGAAATCAGCGAAATTAAATCGCCAGCGAAAATTAGTTGATTTTAATACAGTAATCGGATTTTCTGGCCTTTTTGTAGTAATACATGTACATTGACCTGTTGAGCCAATGACGACGCCGAATGCATGGTTGCCTGTGGAGCACATTACATAACTTTACAGTCTCCTAAAATACGTAACCTGTCCGACGGCAAAAGAGGCTGCAGATTTAGTTTTTCTGCGCGTTGACGGGATGTCTGCCACGCGAAAGTTCAGTTCGTGTTATTTGGCTCGCACGTCGAAAAATCAACGCGAGTGACCTGCTGCTCACGTCGAAATTTGGACATTACATAACTTTACAGTCTCCTAAAATACGTATCCTGTCCGACGGCAAAAGAGGCTGCAGATTTAATTTTTCTGCGCGTCGACGGGATGTCTGTCCTGACATTTACTGGGACCGGCGCTGACTCTGCCGATCACGGGCGTTCTGGACTCGACGGGATGTCTGTCCTGACGTTTCCTGGGACCGGCTTAGACTCTGCCGATCACGGGCGTTCTGGACTCAACGGGATGTCTGTCCTGACGTTGCCTGGGACCGGCGGACTCTGCCGATCACGGGCGTTCTGGAGTCGACGGGATCTCTCTTCCGACGTTTCCTGTGACCGGCGCTGAATCGCTCGTTCACGCTTATTTTGGAGACGACGGGATCTCTCTTCCAAAGTATGTTTATGCTGACGCATCCTATCACCTATTCGGCGTGTATTCTAATTTAATTTCCTCCTCGTCTCCCTATTTCTTTCCAAATCTCCCTCTACATCAGGGAGTCGTATACATAATACGACGAATATTGGTACGGGACAGATACAGGAGCCCGCAAATATTGTGGACAGCTGTTATGTACAATCCTGTAGAGCCTTTGTAGTCACAGATACGGGACAGATACGGGACAGATACAAGATAGCTCCAGCCGTGACACAAACAAACAAACAAACAAACAAACAAACAAACACCAAATTAAAGCTGTGTGGACCCTGGCTAGCGCCAGACGTTACTGAAGTAACGTCTTCTGCATAGCTACGGGAATAAATGTATTGCAGAATTGCAGAATTGTGCTAATTATGCACAACTGACTACCAATGGTTCTGAATGAAACGCCACTCCTCTCGGTAAACATACTACAGTAGTAGAGTTCACTACAGTAAACATACTACAGCTGTAGAGTTCACTACAGTAAACATACTACAGCTGTAGAGTTCACTACAGTAAACATACTACAGCTGTAGAGTTCACTACAGTAAACATACTACAGTAGTAGAGTTCAAAACATACTACAGTAGAAGAGTTCAAAACATACTACAGTAGTAGAGTTCACTACAGTAAACATACTACAGTAGTAGAAGTAGAGTTCACTACAGCACTGTAGGGTGCCCACGAACGGAGCGCTGAAGAACGGAGCGCTGAAGAACGGAGCGCTGAAGAACGGAGCGCTGAAGAACGGAGCGCTGAAGAACGGAGCGCTGAAGAACGGAGCGCTGAAGAACGGAGCGCTGAAGAACGGAGCGCTGAAGAACGGAGCGCTGAAGAACGGAGCGCTGAAGAACGGAGCGCTGAAGAACGGAGCGCTGAAGAACGGAGCGCTGAAGAACGGAGCGCTGAAGAACGGAGCGCTGAAGAACGGAGCGCTGAAGAACGGAGCGCTGAAGAACGGAGCGCTGAAGAACGGAGCACTGAAGAACGACCAGGCTAGAATGTCACCAATCACAGCATACCAATGTATAGTATACACGGTGACTCAACTGTACATAGACTGTAATGCATGAAAATAAGAATGGTCTAGGCTAGGAGGCTGACGCCCCAGTTCTTCGGCGACCGACAGTACTGTATGAAAGACAGCGAGAGAACATATTGACATCTTGAAAAACCAGCAGTAGTGGAGCAGTGTGACACAACAACTGCAGGAGCAGATGAATATTTCTATCAATTGCATCAGAGGCAGGGGTGTCGCACACGGTACGGTCACTACGGTATTGACCGTACCACTATTTGACCCAAGTACCCTGTGGATCAATAAAATGCACTGATTCGGGCTCTAATTTTCCAAATTTTTCGGCTCAGCCACCCCTCCCGCACGAGTAAATTGTACTTCAGATGGCTGACCGTACCACACTAAATTACCTCCCAACGCCCCTGAAAGGGGTATCGCAACACAGCCGGTACTCACAATCTAATTTTTTGTTTGCAATTGAGTACTTCTCCGTTAGCTACGAAGCTATAGGAATTACCCTAGCATTGGCTACCGCTTTATAGCTATAGGAATTACCCTAGCATTGGCTACTGCTTTTCAACACTCACTCAGGGCTACTAGTGATGGTGCTGAACAGGGGTACATAGCCCCCGCACTGTTCCTCTGCACTCACTTCTGGGCAAGAACGGTCTAGGCGAGGAGGCTGACCCCCCCCCCCCCTCCCAGACCCCCTGCGAAAAAGTGCCGCCCCAGGGAATTTTCTAGAACCGCCCCAACCGGTTTTCGACCGGTTGAAATTGTTGGCGACCGGTTGAAAAGTTACAAATCAGTTCCAACCGCCCGTACTTTTCTGTGGGTGAATGGAGCTGCTTATATCTTTGCTACACTCCAGCACCAAGAAATCTGTTAAATTGCTGTCGAGTGCCATATTTGGGTTGTATTTTGAATTTTTTCCGGGGGGACCCCTGGACTCTTCATTGAACCGTAACCGGTTGGAAATTCGTCCTAGAATATACCCTGCGCCCCTACTCATTTTCCGATTTTTGTCTTCATTTCAGGCCATGTTATGAAAATGCATGCAGTTGCCGATCATAAAGACATGATTGCTGGGAGTGAAGTCGGAGGTACTCCCCCGTACGTTGCATTTTGTGTGGCAAGGCAATTTTGGAATATGGAAAAAAATGGGTTACCGGTAGCTGTTTCCCCAGCCCGCCTCCCTGCTATTGTTTACCTGGCTAGAACCCTGGTACATGGTAGATACCAGACTTCAGTAGCCAACAGGAGCAAGCCTTGATAGTGTAATAATTGGGAATGTGAACATAGTAAAAAAAATCACATTTCGTGAAATGACATACCTGACCAGCTGTGCGCAGAACATTGCAAGGGTCTTGACAGTTGCATTAGCCAAGAAGTTATGTGGCTTGGACAGGCGCTTCACTTCAGCCAACTGATCCTCTTTCTGTCATGCAGCAACAATAGCGTATATTACAAGGAAAATGCCAGAAAAGTGTAACTTACAATACAGATTTCTGACAAGTCCTATTCACAGCAGCTCATTCAAGCCGCGCTTCCTTTCTCTGACAAGTCCTGTTGCTCATTCAAGCGGCGCTTCCTTTCTCCAGCCCAGGGACCAAGGAAAGAAAGCAGCAAGAATTTGGCAACTTGGTAAGTTTGAACATTTTGAACACTCTGCTTCCCCATGATAACCGAATGGCTCACACGGCCGAGGTTGGATTTTAGCAAGCTAGGATTCGAAAGGAAAGGATTGTGAGCAACACTGACTCACACTCAATCACTGCGTTTCAAAAATTAATCTCAGGAAAATATTTCAATGTTTTGGTCATGAAAATCACCATTATCAGGATCACAATCATCACCTGATGGTAATTTCATGACCGAAACGTTTTGACATATTATTTTCCGGAAGTGAATTTAGGAAACACCGTGATTGAGTGTGAGCCAGTGTTGCTCATAACCCTTTCCTACTTATGAAGGTGCGTGAAGCATCGTCCTACAGGATTCTTACTAAAATATCATATTATTCGGGGTTTAGGGATAGCCCAGGAATGTGTCAGATGAACTATTTTTTTTGGATTTTATCTTTTCTTATGGCTATTATTAGAATGGCAAAAATGGCTCCTTTTTTCCATTTTAAGTTGACGCGAATCACTTTCCACCCGCCGTAGCTCAATCCTAACATTGATGCTTTAGTTCAAAGAGCTATTCCCAATCACAGAAGAAGCTACCGTAAAATCCGTGAATAAGTACGTACTTACTTTCAAATTTAGTGGTCACGCCCGTACAAACTTTCGGGCGGGTGCTGACTTTCGGGCACGGACTAACTTTCGGACCTGACTTATGTGTAGTGGAGAAGCCATTTTTCATGTAAATGTACATGCAATGCACCGCGCATGTGCGAACTACACCAGTACTTATATCGGGCAGTATGTTTATCGGGCTCGTGAGTTCCCTTCGGGAATGGACACGATAATTTATTTTTTATTCCCGTAGCTATGCAGAAGACGTTACTTCAGTAACGTCTGGCGCTAGCCAGGGTCCACACAGCTTTAATTTGGTATTTGTTTGTTTGTGTGTTTGTTTGTTTGTTTGTGTCACGCCTGGCGCTATCCCGTATCTGACGGCAAAAAATCATAGGGATGTTATAAATTTTTCAATTCTCCTATTTTTTTCAGGCATATCCTGGGATTCGAACCCGCACTATCGCCCTACATGCATTCCCCCATACACTTCGCATTCATACCCATTCTTCCAAGTTGCTTCACGTTATGATCTTGCGTTTGAAAGCCCTATTTGAATATTGCGGGCAGCTGTATGTGGCTAGCTGTGTTTGATGGTACGGTACGGGAGACGGTGTCGTATTACCCTCGATCGTACCTGTCCCGTACCTATCCCTACCGTACCGTACATTCAAAGACGGCTGGCCACAATGCATATTCAAATAGGGCTTTCAAATGCAAGATCATAATGTGAAGCAACTTGGAAGAATTAGTATGTATGCGAAGTGTATCGGGGGATGCATGCAGGGCGCGATAGTGCGGGTTCGAATCCCAGGTTATGTCTTAAAAAAAAGAATATTTTAAAGACCAGGGATGCATACAGGGCGCGATAGTGCGGGTTCGAATCCCAGGTTATGTCCTAAAAAAAGGAATTTTTTAAAGACCGGGGATGCATACAGGGCGCGATAGTGCGGGTTCGAATCCCAGGTTATGTCTAAAAAAAAAGGAATTTTTTAAAGAATTTATAACATCCCTATGCTTTTTTTTGTCTAGGTCATCAAGGAAAAAAAGCATAGCGTAGGGCCCTGAGCTTCCAAGCTCTCTCGTTTATTTTATTTTATGTTTATCGGGCTGAACTTGACTTCAACAGCCAGAGTCAAAATGATGAAGGGGGTATTTATTTAGGGCAGGTACTTATTTTTACGGACGTTTACCGTATACAGTGGAGATTGGATATACCGACACTCCTTCGAGAGAAAGCAAAATGTCGCTATATTCGATCTGTCACTAAATCCGATCTTCACATTTAGTATGCAATATGTATATCGAAATGACAGAAATGTATTGAAGATATACATGTACATGACGTGGATAACAGATGTGTACATGTATGTACATGTGTCTTGCATGCATTGTTCAAGGTAAAGTCATCCCGCACCGCTGCACTGCGGCTACAACGTGCAATGTAAAGAGTGCCCCGGAGGTCCGGGTACATGTCACTAGCCCTATACCATGCTGCAGACATGCCAGTCTGCAGTCTGCCTGATACAAGAGGAAAGTCGTTATATCCGATGTATTTTTCACTGTTTTTCAGCTCTTCGGGCACCAACAAGTGTCAGCAAATTCGATCTGTCGTTATTTTCGAGGTCGTTATACCCAATCTATAATGTACAGAAAGGACTTGCTAAACGACTTGGGCAACAGAATTGTGTCGCTAAACTCGATTTGTCGTGATACCCAATCTCCACTGTATATGCTCTTTTGTAAGGAAAGAAAAATTCACAAAAGCCAAACAACTGACCTCTTTTCGAGCAGCTGCCTCTAAGCTGTTCCAAGCACCAGACGTTTTCTCTTGCTCTAATTCCTTGATGCGCGCAAGCAGCTGTAGCAAGTATATACAGGTAATTGAACAACCATGAGCACAGAATCTGAGATACTGAGCCGTGAGCATGCAGCACAGACTTCCCCTAGAACCATCATTGTGCATTCCACAAAGTACACCATCATATCACATCACGCATCCCTTAAGTTCCAGGGCATTGTCCTAGCTATTGCCATAATGGAAGACCACATTATAGCAAATTTCACGGTTCGCACCAAAGTCAGCCGGACTGATTTTCCGCATACACGTAGAAACACCACCGTCGCCCAAGTTCAAGGATCACAGTGCAGACGCAGCTCTTAAAGGGCTGGGAGGTGAGTAGATCTGATCACACCCCCCACCAGACAGTGGCTAAAGACCGCAAATCCTATTCACAAGATCCATGTTACTCTGGAGCCAGACCACGAGTTCCCAATTCACAGCGGGGGCAAGAAGAAAGTGCCCGCTCACATGGACAGCACCTCCCCCCCCCCCCCCCCCCCCCACCTGCAGGTGCGCTGCATTATACAGGTATTGTGCCGTGCACGCTAGCGTAATGATCCCCTTCCGTAAAAACTGCACCGCACAATGAACCTCTTCGGCCTGGCTGGTCCTACTTCGAAGAATTTCTAATTGTTCACTGTTACACGTCCTGGGTGAGTACTGTAAGACATGTTATTATAACGAGTCGCAAATTTAACGATTGTCCAAAATTCATAGGTTAACGAGAAGATATGTTAACGATCTTGCAGTATTCTGCCATATCCACACATAGCATATATGAAGCAGTACGGCCTCAACGGATCTTATTATAACGAAGAAATGTCATCCGTTAAAACGTTAGATTTGCTTCCTCGTTATATATACATGTCTTACAGTAACTTACATTATACAGTACCATAGGTCAATGTACCCACCATAGTCAATTCTGACTGTGGGGGCAGGAGGTGTTAGACATAGGCCTGTCTCAATGAGATCGACATATATGGTGGGGGTAATGCTTATCTCCTCTCCCGCATGGCCTTTCACTAGTCACTTCAACTGTAAGATAATAACTACATGCACATGATTGTACATACTGAAGAAACTATAGTTTCAGGGACTTCTACAATACAGCAACACCGTGCTGTCAAAGTACACAATACAATCAACTTACACCCATGGCTTCATCCAACAGGAAGATGGCATCATTGACAAGCATGTTGAGAAAGCGAGTGAACACATGCACCTCCTCCCTACTGGATTCGATAGAGTCCACACTCTGCGTAATAAGAATATATAAGAAACAACCATCACGGCAAGTAAGCGCAAGCAAGATTAGCAAACTCATGCTAGAAGGCTGGCTGTGCGCTTTGCCATGGAGTAAAAATCGTCCAATACTGTACCGGAAAGTGAGGAAAATGTGCATTTCATAACACGATCGGGGAGGCATGTGGGAAACATAGAAGTCGAAGTACAAACGTCTTTGAACTATTCAGTATTGCTGTGACATTTCAAAGTCGCCAATCGACTACATTCAAACAGAGAGCAGCAGTCTAAAATGCACAGAGTAGCAGCAGTCTAAAATGCACAGAGTAGTAGCATTCTAAAATGCACAGAGTAGTAGCATCCATTGTAATATTATTCTTCAAGTACATACACGTAGGTCTACATGATTGTACAGTTCTCTGCAGAGAACTGTTCAACCTCATGAATATACTTCAAAGTAGTAGCACCGCGTTTGAGTGCACAATATAGTGTGTGGAATGCTTGGGCTGCTTTAATAGCGCCCAGCACTATCACACTATATGCATGAGGTTGGATTTCTCTGCTTGGGCTGTGTAGCGCCCAGCACTACCGTAAAATCCCGTGTATAGGCCCCAGGCGTATAGAATAGCAGCCTCGATTTCCTGGGCGTACAAGGGCACGGGCGTTATTTTGGAACCGGGCGTATACTTGGAATAGGGATAGCAGTAAGTATTGGGTATCAGTACCTGTACATGTACTGGTGTTGCCGGCATACCTGGGCGTATACATGGGTATGGGCGTTATTTTGAAACAAAAGTGTTGACTTCCCCTGATTGGGCATGTACACGGAGGGTGGGCGTAATTTCGAGTGGGCGTATACAGGGGCTTTTACGGTATCACAGTATATTCATTACGGTATCACAGTATATTCATGAGGTTGGATTAGTCTGGTCAGTACCGTAGTAACCTTCTTACTTCATCACTAATTGTTGCGAACTGCTGACGATACCCAGCTAGTGGGAAAATGTGCTGAAAGATGGTCAAGATAGGATGACGATACTCTACACGGGACAAGCAGACAATAGAACAGTCACAGGGTCATAGTCACAGTGTCATAGTCACAGGGTCATAGTCACAGTGTCATAGTCACAGGGCCATAGTCATTGTCACAGTACACACAGCCATTGTCTCAGTACACACAGTCATTGTCTCAGTACACACAGTCATTGTCTCAGTACACACAGCCATTGCCCAAACCACATCAAGGGCGTCACGGACATGCCACAGTCAGTACAGTATTGACCGTACCAAATTCCGCTACTACCGGTACTGTATACATGTAGTACTAGTACATTTACCTGGAAAACGGGTTTTACCGAACATTTCCCTCCACCGAACCGCCGATTTCGGAGAATACCGAAAATATCACACCACCGACAATTTCTGCTTTTACAGGAGACCCGCTGCACCAGGGGCATCCGGTAAAGACAGGTTTCATTCCCGTAGCTATGCAGAAGACGTTACTTCAGTAACGTCTGGCGCTAGCCAGGGTCCACACAGCTTTAATTTGGTGTTTGTGGCGGACGGACCTCCGCCTGGCGCTATCCCGTATCTGTCCCGTACCGTACTGTACCATCAAAGACAGCTGGCCACAAACAGCTGGCCACAATATTCAAATATAGGACTTTCAAATGCAAGATCATAACGTGAAGCAACTTGGAAGAATGAGTATGAATGCGAAGTGTATCGGGTAATGCATGTAGGGCGATTGTGCGGGTTCGAATCCCAGGTTATGCCTTGAAAATAATAGGAGAATTGAAAAATTTATAACATCCCTATGCTTTTTTGCCTAGGTCATCAAGGTGGTAGACGGTATCGTATTACCCTCGACCGTACTTGTCCCGTACCGTACCATCAAAGACGGCTGGCCACAAACAGCTGGCCACAATATTCAAATAGGGCTTTCAAATGCAAGATCATAACGTGAAGCAACTTGGAAGAATTAGTATGTATGCGAAGTGTATCGGGGGATGCATGCAGGGCGATAGTGCGGGTTCGAATCCCAGGTTATGTCTTGAAAAAAAATAGGAGAAATGAAAAATTTACATCCCTATGCTTTTTTGGCCTAGGTCATCAAGGCAAAAAAGCATAGTGTAGGGCCCTGAGCTTCCAAGCTCTCTCGTTGTACCAATTTGACAGCAACCCACCCCACAGCTAAAGGGGAAAGAGACCATGGCACAAAAATAACGCTGGCACAAAGATATGGTTACATTGTGTTAGCATTAACTCCAAGTAAGTTCCGACAATAGGGAATACTCACAACTCAGAAGGTGTAGTTAAAAGACAGGTATATAATTATATTGTCTGCATCACGACTCAAGTCAGGGACCTTGACTATGAGCTAGAAATTAAGGAGCGCTACACTGCATCGAAGGTACTTACGGAACTTCTGCTCAAACTGTTCAGTTTCTCCAGTGAACTCAATGTCAACAAAGACCGTGAGGATGGCCATTGGCAAGTAACGCTTAGCAAGAGAATGCGTTGCGAACAACTGCTGACGTGTCATCTACAGGATGCAGATTGGCAACAAGGACACACACAGGTCAGTAGCGCCGGGACATCAGTATCCACTGCCATCCAGGTACTATACAATGTAGATCCACTGCTATCCAGGTACTATACAATGTAGATCCACTGCCATCCAGGTACTATAGTACTGTTCTGAATATCACACCTGCACAAGGCCGGATGCTGCTGCTGCTGCTGCTGCTGCTGCCTGCCCTTGCTTAATATCACACCTGTTTAAGTTAAATCTCAAGGTTGAAGAAGAAAGGGATGTGACTTACAATGGAGTGTGACTTCTTACACCAGTAAACACACAGAAACTAACGACAGAGACCTGGAAATGGGAGGGGAAGAGTACCTAGTAAATGCAGATGGCAACAATGGCTGAATACTGACCCATGTGCGTCCAATGCATACTAAGAATGACACCGTCAGCACACAGAGAAAGACTGTCGGCAGTCTACGAGTCTCGTACATGAAGCGATACTCTGCTTAATTAACTTAACAAAGCCATTATGGGATTACTAAGCCAATACCTGAGCATAATGTTCCAAGCGTTACCAGTCTTTCATTTGGAATAGTTCTGATATACAATAATCTAACATATGTCTACACACGTTATCAGGAAAAGTCGTCAACAACCACTCACCGTAGACAGCTGCATACGATCCACTGATTGCACTTGTGAGGAGTAGAAGCTGTTGTCTGGCAGTAACCAAACCATGCACTCCGCTAGCTTGGCACGCAAGTGCGGACTCCTCACCAAGTCCTTGTGACTAGATGACGGGAACACACGTACGCACGCACGCACGTGCACACACACACACACAAACATGTACACACACACAGACACACACAAACATGCACACACACACACACACACACACACAGCACAGCATAGCACAGCACAGCACAGGGAGAGTATGGTTTCGGCTGTTTTCCACAGTGTTCACTCATCATTCATTCTTGAGCTTCCTTCAAGGAATCCACAGCTGGGAACACGTTCACCCAAACTTGGCTATAAGGTGGCAGGAAACATCGCTCAGTACCAAACTAGGATACTACTCACAAACATTCAATGATTGGCTTAACGGCTAGATTGGTTTTCAGATCTGTTCTACACTTCTGTCGCATATTTCTTCAGGTTCACATTTATGTTGATGCTTGCAAGCTAGAGTAGTGGCACTCCTACGGATGCAGGAAGCTAGGGTGATGGCACTCATAAGGATGCGGGAAGCTCGATCTCTAGCTGAGTCGCACGCGAACCGTGATTTTTGCAAGCTTGGACTGGGTCTCAAGCCTCCACTGTTCTTGGACTGGGCCACCCAATATCCACTGTTCTTGGATTGGGTTATCAGTCTCCACTTTTTTTGGATTTGGTTATCAGTCTCCACTGTTGTTGGATTGGGTTATCAGTCTCCGCTGTTCTTGGATTGGGTTATCAGTCTCCACTGATCTTGGATTGGGCTATCAGTCTCCACTGTTCTTGGATTGGGTTATCAGTCTCCACTGTTCTTGGATTGGGTTATCAGTCTCCACTGTTCTTGTTTCCCTTTTCAACACCCTCAACTAATCAGTATTATTTTATTGTTTACTACTTCGAAGTAGTATTCATTGGGTCTGCCCACGTGCTACTTCGTGTGTGAAGTGTGTGTGTGGTTACAGTGAAGGCTGCGTCCCACCAGCCTGTGCAGTGTCACAGGCTGGTGGGTTTCGAAATCTGAAGAAAATGTTAAACGGTCTGTGCTGGGAGGACAGCTACACCATAGCTCAGTATGTAGTGGGTAGAGCATTGCTGGCCTCAGTCAGTGTGTAGTGGGTAGAGCATTGCTGGCCTCAGTCAGTGTGTAGTGGGTAGAGCATTGCTGGCCTCAGTCAGTGTGTAGTGGGTAGAGCATTGCTGGCCTCAGTCAGTGTGTAGTGGGTAGAGCATTGCTGGCCTCGGTCAGTGTGTAGTGGGTAGAGCATTGCTGGCCTCAGTCAGTGTGTAGTGGGTAGAGCATTGCTGGCCTCAGTCAGTGTGTAGTGGGTAGAGCATTGCTGGCCTCAGTCAGTGTGTAGTGGGTAGAGCATTGCTGGCCTCAGTCAGTGTGTAGTGGGTAGAGCATTGCTGGCCTCAGTCAGTGTGTAGTGGGTAGAGCATTGCTGGCCTCAGTCAGTGTGTAGTGGGTAGAGCATTGCTGGCCTCAGTCAGTGTGTAGTGGGTAGAGCATTGCTGGCCTCAGTCCAAGATCCCTGGTGGTGACAGTCTATTTTTTCCAGACTTTTTTCCCCTTTACAACGCCCTCAACTAAAGAATGTTCTTAGATTGGGTTACCAATATATCCACTGTTCTTGGACTGGGTCACCAGACTCCATTGTTATTCATCAACGAGAGAGCTGCCAGCCCAGGGCCCTCTCTCTCTCTCTCTCTCTCTCTCTTTCTCTTTCTCTTTCTCTTTCTCTCTCTCTCTCTCTCTCTCTCTCTCTCTCTCTCTCTCTCTCTCTCTCTCTCTCTCTCTCTCTCTCTCTCTCTCTCTCTCTCTCTCTCTCTCTCTCTCTCTCTCTCTCTCTCTCTGTCTCTGTCTGTCTCTGTCTCTGTCTGTCTCTGTCTCTCTCTCTCTCTCTCTCTCTCTCTCTCTCTCTCTCTCTCTCTCTCTCTCTCTCTCTCTCTCTCTCTCTCTCTCTCTCTCTCTCTCTCTCTCTCTCTCTCTCTCTCTCTCTCTCTTGTTGTATGTAGGAAACCTGATCTTCTCAACTGCTGATATGTGATATAAAACTCTTGTCCTATCTGCTCACGTGGTCACTTTCACATGAGATTGAACTGTCTGCTCAAGTGAAGGGGGGGGGGGGGGGGATCCTTAGCATCGTGTCTTCAACGGAGAAAAGCAAGAGGCTGAGTGCTGCAGTTCAGTCTGTGGGCTTGCAACGGCCCTGGGGGGGGGGGGGCACCACCCCATCCAGGTTCAGCATGGGTGGAGTGGTCAGTCCCAAAGCAGCCACACGAGGGGCAGAGCAGCCAACCCAGCGTCACGTTCTGGTCCCAGCGAGGCACCACGCATGCAACCGAGTAGAAACCCCACCCAGCACCCTGGCCCCGAAGTCCGTTTCCGTTGCGGCGAGCCTGGACACTTCCCCTGTCATGATACACCTGTCATGATACACAATCATCTTCCATGTACACTGTGTTACATTGCTAGTTTAAACACTCTATTGGACAGTAAGCATCACACAAGCACTCGAGTTTAAACACTCTATTGGACAGTAAGCATCACACAAGCACTCGAGTTTAAACACTCTATTGGACAGTAAGCATCACACAAGCACTCGAGTTTAAACACTCTATTGGACAGTAAGCATCACACAAGCACTCGAGTTTAAACACTCTATTGGACAGTAAGCATCACACAAGCACTCGAGTTTAAACACTCTATTGGACAGTAAGCATCACACAAGCACTCGAGTTTAAACACTCTATTGGACAGTAAGCATCACACAAGCACTCGAGTTTAAACACTCTATTGGACAGTAAGCATCACACAAGCACTCGATCGCACAGTAAAAATGCAGGTGTCCAATCATCATACAGCACAGCTCTTACCTCAAGAAAATGACAATCATGCTGAGAATGGTGGACAATTCCTGCGCTGACTCCTCGAGTAAACTCACAGCTCTTGTGGGAGCGTGTCTACAGAGGTGAAACACAGCACATCATACACACCTTGGTAAGCTACTCCCATGCCACAAACACGAGGAGCTACAAATTACTGCATATCATCATTGTTTGCTGTTGGATGTGTTGCAGTGCTCACACATGCATCGGGCTGAAAACAGCCATGCACACATCTAAAGGAAGATGACTAGTTTGAGGGAAAGACACAAACGGGAAAAGTCAGAAAAAATTGACTGTCACCACCAGGACTCGGGAAGATGACCAACACAATTTCCAAGCCTCTCATGATCAGACATTACATATTGTCCCACAAATTACACGTCATATTTCGGAGACTATGCTGAATATCCTAATAGCGCCACGGCACCACATACAAGCAATACAACCTTGCAGGAAAATTCTGAATTCCATCGGCGCTCGCCAGGAAAGAGCAGAATTGCATTCGTACCGTTCAGGGGATGTGGATGTGTAATCAAAAGCAAATTCTCCAATTTCACAAGTGAGACGCTTGTGTCTGCGCGTGCATGCAGGAATGCATGTGCTTGCGTGCGTGTATGGATAAGCACAATCCACAGTCCTTCAAGCTTGGCCAACGCACAATGAATTTCGTGCATAGGACGCGTTGGACCACAAGTTATACATGACACGGCTAGCAGCATCACAAGTTATATCTAACACAGCCAGCATCATTTTGTTATACACAACACAGCCAGCATCATTTTGTTATACACAACACAGCCAGCATCATTTAGTTATACACAACACAGCCAGCATCACTATAGTGAAACACAACACAGCCAGTAGGCTAGGAGCCTGTGCAACCCGTACTACCTTATCGTTTTTAGAAAGTCAGGAACAGATTCCAAGAGAAACTCGGGAATCATTGCCATCTTGCGCTTGGCCTAGACACGGCAAATATCAAGATGTGTACATGTACATCAAGTCCAAGACTGTTCAATATCAACAACACATCATCACACATCATCACACATCATCACACATCATCACACATCATCACACATCATCACACATCATCACACATCATCACACATCATCACACATCATCACACATCATCACACATCATCACACATCATCACACATCATCACACATCATCACACATCATCACACATCATCACACATCATCACACATCATCACACATCATCACACATCAAAGCACATCATCACACATCAAAGCAGAAACTATTGCAGACATGTAGACATAGCAACACAGGCACACAAAAACACATACACAAAGGCATAATTCAGCACACGAAGCACAGAAGCCATATAATTTCGACTAGGCCTTTCGTACCATTACTCTTCAAGTCAAATACAATGGTGATTAACAAGGCACCAACGGACAATGGACCAACGGACAATGACGATAATGAGAAGGACTCGGCGATACTCCGTCACCTGACATCGTCACCAGGCTGCCTAAGTGCAGTCTGCAAACATGGCACCCACTCTCACTACACGATTCAAGCGTGTGCGCGCAACAAATCTCACCCTGCTGTGCTGGAGGCAGTGTACATTGCCAAGCTGAAGCCTGAACTGTGCGTGCAAAAGAAGTATGTGCGAAAGTTGTCACTGTTTTGACATTGTAGTACCATGGTCCCCACTGTTGTCTGATACTGGTAATATGCATTGTAGTACCATGGTCCCCACTGTTGTGTGATACTGGTAATATGCATTGTAGTACCGTGGTCCCCACTGTTGTGTGATACTGGTAATATGCATTGTCTCACTGTGTAGTTGGCGCCACTAGCGCTATCTTTTAAAGTGCTATTTGGTCTATGCTCTGACCGCCAAATATGTTGTTGGCGCCACTAGCGCTATTTTTCAAGTGCTATTTTTGTCAGTGCTCTGACCGCCAAAGTGCCGGTTGTAAGGACTTGCTTGCTACCTTGTTAATCACCATTGTATTCGACCTGAAGAGTAATGGTATGAAAGGCCTAGTCGAAAAAATTATATGGCTTCTGTGCTTCGTGTGCTGATTTGCTTTCCTCCAACCAAAAATCTATTCAAAGACATAACTATAGACATACTGACACACACTGACACACACTGACACACACTGACACACACTGA